CCCCTTGAGGATCCAACAGGCCATCTGTCCAACTGGGTCCTCTCACATGTCAGCACCACCGTGGAGGCCGAGTTTGCTTGACCACTCGCTCTCCCTTACTCGTTCTGATAGCAACTTTAATGCAGGATTTTTTTTAATTGACGAAAAAGTACTCTGTACACGACTTTTGGTCATGCAACTATCCACCCCTTCTCTTCTCCTATGCACAGTCATACAAAAATCCCCCGATTCTGTCACGAACCGCCTTCCTTCTCGGCTTCCACCCGCTTCGATGACAGGTCCAGCGGCCCTGCCCTGGGCGGGCTATCAACCCTCGTCTGGGCTGCAACCAGCATTGCTCTGCACTACATGAGTCTGCATAGAGGGAGACTGCGATCTCACCTGGCTGATCTTCAAATGTCAGCTGATGGAGATTTATTTTCCGCATCTACCCAGAACCTGACAACCCCAGATGGCACTGTGCTCATCTTTATCCACTGGCTGAGATGCCATGCTCTTTGCACCATCAAATAGTGATGTCCTATAGCAATAGTACTTGGTGCTGCGCCCTGCACTATCTGGTCACCTTGAGGATGATAGCACTTTTAGGGTCGTCTTCGGCACCACCTCCTGTTGTGCGCACACCTTGTGGAGGGGTCTTCCTGGGAAGCCTCTCACAAAAGTGTGGTGGCGGTTCTGGCCTCGTTGAGGCTCCATCCTGGTATCGATGCGCCTTTGTGTCACCGAGAGGCACCTGAAACTCAGTCTCTGATTTGTCAGATTGCTCTGCACGCTGGGCTTCTGAAGAATGAGGTCAACCTTTTGACATCTTGTGCAACCAAGATGTTCTGTGATGTTCCGCAGGCTTTGTGCAGCTCTTGTCCAGGGGCTAACATTGGCCACAGAGTTCACTCCGATTCAGGAGGCCTCCTCCTAGTGACATGCACCACTGCTACCCTTTGTCATGTGCATCAACGTTTTTTGCAGGCTTAGCGCCTGGGCCTATCCCGTAACTGGCTGGCCTTTTTCAAGTCAGGAGAGCCTCTATCGACTCAGTGAGGCCATACGGAAAGTTATCTATTCTCTGCGGGCTGTCTGCGGTCAAAGGCTCAATCGACTACTAGAGGGCAAGGCTGTGCAGTTGGTGGCCAATCTTCATCGATATCAGAATTTGGAAATTTTCCGCAAAATACTTGGCCCTCCGTCCCCCTAACCATGGCCCAATTTTCAAAGGGGATTACCAGCTGTGAGTTTGCTCAGGTGCAGATGATGCATATGCCACGTTTCTACAGGGGCTCGTGGCCAATCAAAGCAGAGGCATCTTGAGAGCAAACAGTATCCAGCCTCTGTCTCTTGTTGAGGTTAGTACCGACAACACAGGATGATTTCCATCCCACCCTCTGCAAAGCATGTCCGCACGAAGATGCGTAACCCACAACCCACCAGGTGTGGCTCAAAGAGGCTGCAGGGTTGTCTTGTTTCCCCACATGGAACCTGTCGACGCTAGATCCAGAACCAATGCTACCTGCACTCATTGCTCAAGTACAGTTTGCAGGTTGGTCTCTGGAGCATCATGATGGTTTGATTGGCCTTGTGCGTCGGATTTGTTTCACAGCTGATATGGCAGGCGCTCCATCAGTTGGTCGATGACTGGTCAGCCCATGTTATGCCCACTGAATCATGTTGTCGCAGTGGACCAAGCATCATGGTCACACCGTCGGACGCCTGCAGCATGGCCGTTACAAGGGAATCTTAGATCAGGTTTCAAAGGCCAACTCCGAAGGCGTGACTTGATCCAGGCGTAAGTTGGGAGAGTAGCAAATCTTTTTCAGATTGACGTCGATCATGATATGACATACCTCCTCGATCTGGCTCCAGCAACAAGTTGAAGCTTGTCCATCTCTTTTCCTATTGGAGTATGCCCTTGAAAATGTCACTATCAACCTGATCCTGGCTCTCTTCTGTTCTTCTCAACATCTCATTGCTCAGAATCAGCTCTGGGCTCCTCCAAGGTCCGAGACTGTCGTTAGAGAGCTTGCTTCAGGACTGGCCGTGGTCGAAGCCGAAGGACCCAAGGCTCTTGCTCGCTTCTGGCCACTCTTGTTTTCAACACGCATCATGGTAAGGAAAACCCCGGAAGTTGCATTTCTTCCCATTGACAAAAGCCCCAGATCTCAACACGATCACTTTACCCAGACTTCGAGTTCTTCAGACGCAATGAGAGAGGCCCACATATGGCCCTGAGCCAGAGTTCTCACATCAATGATCAATATGAGACGGGAGGTCACCTCAGTAGCCGCACTACACCCACATCTGAACCGGATAGCAGAGCATCGAGCGGCTCCAGAAAACGTGTCCCAGTTGCTGTACGTATTGAAACGCTCGTGGGGCCATATCCAGCGTATCGCTTGCTCACACATTGCAGTGTGAGAGATGCCGGAAACGCAAAATCAAATGCAGCGGCAACGAAGGTGATAGACAAGCATGTGCAAACTGCAAGAACTCGGGGCTGGAGGACTCGTGTCGCTTTCTACGGGTGAGCTTTTGTTCTGCAATCCAACTATGCACACTAACCTAACAAAATGCAGGTCTCCTCGGTAGATCCTAGTCAATATGGCTTTCGGGGATGGCACGGGCCTCCACGATATTCACCGTATTCCCTTCCTACGCACCATCGTCTGAATTACGTCTCGATGCCCTCGAGGTGTAGCCCACAAAGCAGTCTGCAATATCACGCTGTCTCCAATGGCATTGACTATGGTGGATACACTAGTCAAAGTTCAAATGTTGATTGGGGAAGAGCACAATACGTCGGACCCTACTCGCCATACCCAGATGACGAAGAAACCAGTCCTTACACGACCCAACCACCTCCATACATTCTTCCAAACACGGATCCAATGTCAACAAACAACGCTTACTATGTCCATGGCCATGGGGTTCGACCACATCCTGGCTCGCTTTGGCCAGAGACCCAGCAATATGTCCATCAACCCAATTCTCAGGCAAGTGGCACATCCTATACGATGCCCAACGAAGCGCCTCAATCGTTCCAGACAATGGGGGCTGGCGGAAATCTGCCATCAGACCGTATCCTGCCCCAGCCAATCAATGCACGCAGTTACATTCCTACACCTGCCAGTTCAGTCGATCTGCCGGTTTCTGCTGCAAGTCAACGCAGCCAAACCTTCTGGAACGGTGATGGTGTTACATCTGTTCAGCACGTCTCATCCCCAGTAGAACCAAGTGGAGCTCAAGAACAACACAATTCCAGGGAGAACCTCCCCTATCGAGTTCAGGACATGACATACGGCCAGATGAGTTTGAGCGACGTGCTCTCTGCGACGTCAGTGGCCTCTGGCGAGCAACTCGCCGTCAATGAAGCCCAGCCCGCAGTAGTAACGTCGGCCCCAACGGACGACACACTCTCACAACATTCGCCTTTGGGTGCGGTATCTCACCAGACCTTGAAGTCCACGGTGGAGGATCATGCTGTGGCATACGGATACAAAGGCTCAGTTGATGGGCACAACTCACAACCCATGAGAGCTGCCAATCAGTCCTTCAGCGGTTCATTCTACGGACGAGCCCTGGTCTCACAGCAAGAACCTGGCGGACATGACTGCAGACCAGACTGTTCTGGTTGTCAGACGGCTGAGTCGACTCGCACCACAGCCATTTCGCTCAGCAATACGTCTTCAAAATACTGACAACGGCCTCTTGGTGCTTGTGATACCGTCCTCTCTACGCGTGTCCCCACAAGCGGCAATCCTCGTCTAATACCTGTGTTGTACTATTTCAAAACAACGTTGCTCGGCTTTCGTGTCTGCGTTCCATTCTGTTTTCATGTATACTGCGATGTTGTACGAACCACATAAACCTAATAAGCGACAGGAGGGTTTACCCATGCCACAGAAAAGAGCGCGGGACTGCACCACGGCAAGGGCATTTGGTACTGCCTTTCGGGCTATCATGGCGGCGGCGGCGGCAAGTAATATCACCTCCTTGTTTTCTTTTGGTTCTTGATCTTACCGCGTGATTTTGGAAAAGGAGGAAACGGAGGAGGAGAAGGCACCGAGACAAAAAGTTTGTATGGGAAGGGTCATCGATTTAAATTGACTTACAATGTTCGAGCTGGTGGCCTCGTCCCGGCAACAATGAAGGATATGGATGGGGTTGGGAGAGGGAAGGAAAAGTATGCGGTCTCGCAAAGGAAGGTTTCATGTATGAGTGCTCTTCCCAGACGTGTACGTTATGCCCACTACCCACGGGCGGCGGGGTTTGAGATAATATTCGTTCCTGCTGCGCGCGCGAGCAGCGCACACAGAGAAAGGCCACAGTCCGTCGAAGTCCAGTCGTTTAGGGGATTGGGAAGCAGAGCAGAAGAGAACTATTAGGGCAGCACGAACCATGTACCATTACCACTCACGCAATGCTGCCCTTACCTCGCTGTCTCCCTGGTTTACTTAGTGTTCTGGTACACCTCACACGGGCTCAATGAGAGCAAGATGGTCATGTTGTGTATTACAACGTACGAACAGAAGTCACACAGGCAGCGGGTTAGAAGTGGCATAGCGTGACGACGACTCGTGTGTGTGTCTCTCTCTCTCTTTTTGCATTTCACAGTGTTTTGATATTCATTTCAATTGCAGTGTCGATCTCTCTCGTTGCGCCATATTGCCCCCGTTCCGCAAACTCGTTCGATGCAGAAAAAGGTTTCCACCCCTCGACCTTTCAAGATGGCACGTGATTGATGTGGGCGGCTCTGTCCTTTTTCTCTGGAAATGGGCGTTAACATTCTCCATATTTTTCTTTTGCACAGCGGCCTGTCCCGTCAAATCTGCTTTCAAAGGGCAAAAAAATGGTACGCCAGGCTTGGATTTCTCATTTGCCCTTCTTCTGGTACATGAAACAAGCACAGGCGCGACCATTGCCTTTTCTCGATCCGGCTCAACAGTCCACATTCACCCACCACAACCACCACAGGCACCACAACCTCTCCTCCTGAGACGACCTCACATTTATTTGCTCTTGTCCTTCTTCGCACCCTTTGTCTTGGCCGTGCCTCGGAACTCCTTCGACCGGTTCTTGCGCTGCTTGCGTTGCTGTCTGCTGGCCTTTTCGATCTTGGTAGCGTGACCCACTCTGACCAATCTGTAGTGCGGCTCGAATTTCTTCATGGCCTCGACCGAGTCGTAGATGAGGGCGAAGCCGGTGGACTTGCCGCCACCGTACTGCGTCCGCATGCCGAACACGTTGATCTGGTCCTTGTTGGATTTGTACACTTCGGCCAGTTTGGCGCGGAGGTCGTCTTTGGAGACGTTGGGCCGGTTGGGGTGGAGGACGTCACTGCGGTAGAGGGAAAAAAGGCAAACACATGTCAGTTTTCAGATTCTCTCTCTATTTTTTTTTTTGGTAGAGATTTCCATTGCGCAATCGGGTTGGGAGAACGGGGAGGAGAGGTTGCGCTCTTACAGGACCATCTGCTTCCGCGACAGAAGTCGGTTGGTGATGAACTTGCGAGTTCGGATGGTAACCGGTGAGTCGGCCATGATTGCGATTCTTTGCGGTGGTCTGTTCGACGGGAGATCGCAATCGAGACAGTGATGGGATGGAACTGTCGAGCTGGTCGAAAAGAATTTGGTTGACACTCGAATTGACTGCAGTTGTGGAAGGGCTGCGGTGTTGAGCAAAGATTCGCTCCCTCCCGCAAAAATTGTGGGCTTGGCATTTCGAAATCTTGGCGCTTTGTGCGCTACTACGTATAAGGCTAGTGGCTTTTCCACCACATATCTCCAACTCCGACTCCTTTGTAATTTCTGTCGTTGTATTGATGCGTGAAGACACAACGCATGTTGGGTCATGCTCCTATCCATGTCTGATACTCGGACATCTCTGCTCTTGATATTGCACACAACGTACCTCTCACAACCTTGGTGACTTTCAAGATGGACATCGCTCGGGCCGGAGTAGAGCCAATCGTGATCAAATTCTATCGGCAGTACATGCAGCAGATCAATGATGTGACTTATCCTCCTGGCGCGCTCCTGGTCAACCCGGATGTGCAGGACTGCTTGTATCGGTATTTTTTCGATGCTAGCCGGAACAAATACTTGCCTCCCCCGTGGTATCAGGTCCGGATACTGCGGCGTCTGATTGAAGAGATTGAAAACTCTTGCAAGGATCCTGAACAAGATGTAGGCTGAAACCTCGGAGGCGCAGCCATTGATAACGACCATCCCCTTCCTACATCCTTGTCATTCTACCTTCCCAAAGCTTGAACCACTCACGTCTAATTACGCTGCAGCAAGTCTCGGATCATCTGATGGAGCACATGGGCTACCTGTCCAGTCTTCCTCACGGGGACCAGACAGACGAGGCACAGCAATCGCGTGTCCACTCATACTATCCTCCTCTTTCCCTTGACGCGCGAGGAGTACGACCAATCCTCATCAATGAAGCGAGCAATCTCCTTTCGAGAGGCAGCAATGTTGGGCTTCGTACATGGGAGGCTGCACTGCACCTAGCGTGGTATCTCTTTACTCAACGGCCAGACATCGTAAACAACAAGCACGTCCTCGAACTAGGGGCTGGAACTGGGTTTCTTTCTTTGCTATGCGCAATCCACCTCAAGGCGTCGTCTGTGCTGGCCACCGATGGCTCGGGGCTTGTCTGTGAGAGTTTAGAGAACAATGTCCTGCTGAACAAGCAGAACGGAACGCTTGATGGGTGCATATCCCCAGAAGTTCTCCAACTGGACTGGACGGATCAGCCAGCAATTGCTGAGTTACTGAGTAAAGCCGAGAAGTCAGCCATGCGCTATGATCTCATCATTGGCGCCGACGTTACCTACCACCCCGACATCCTACGCCCACTGGCCGAGCTGCTGAGCATCCTCAAAGCCCGCTTCCCGGACGTCGTCATACTCATTTCTGCCGCCATTCGAAGCGAGACGTTCTCACAGTTCGCGGCCATCTGTCGAGACGATCTCAAGTTTACAGTGCGCGAAGTACCATGTAAGATTCCGGATGGGTTGCGGTACTGTGGGTTTTTCCACTCGGTCGCCACCGAGATCAAAATCGTCTCACTCGAGCGATGACAGCGAGATGGTTTACAACAAGGAATTACGCCACTGCCATCGTCACTTTTGCCGTCAGTCGACCTTCTCACCCTGATGTGTGATGTGGGATCGCGTTTAATACATTCGGTGCTATCTCTATCATTTAATGCCCAATTCACTCCACATTGCTCTCATCATCGACACCCCTGCCTTTCACGTATGTCACATCACGACCTGATTGATGCCGACTTTAAAAATCGCACGATATCACCGGCCACACTACAAAGCTAGCGAGTCTTCAGAGACGGCCTCCCTGAACCACAAGTGCTTTGACAACCCCCCCCCTCCCCTCAACCGGCGATCATCAAACTGCCGTATTAGGACTAGGCCAGCCTCGACCTTCCTCTTTAGGTGCTCTTCACTATGCTCGTGAGATGATTGATACATGCGTCCATCCTGGCCAGTTCCTGGCCAGCCAAATAGGTAGGTACTTAAAGACCCACTCGAGTATCAATGTCCAAGTCTCAAGTACCTTGGCTGGGGTACATTCGGTATAGATATAGGTATACAGGTCGTCGGTCATAGTCAGGTACATAGCTAACATGACAGGTGTACCCGGTAATCATGACAACATCGGTGATTAGTCTGGATGGATGTGATATAGTCGACCCCGCCCCTCTCTCTTCCGGGGACATTTTTTTGGAATATTAGTTTTGAGAGGACACCCCCTTCTCTCCCTCCCTCTCCCGCTCTCTCTCTCTCACCTCACAAAAACACGCTCGAATACACACACCTGTTTTGCCTTCTTGTACATCCGTGGCGTAAATCGTCTTGAATATCTCCCCCTCCTCTCCCCCTTGCCTCTCATCCTTCCCTCCCTCATCTCCTTCCTATCCTGTCTTTCCCTTCTCTTCTCGGTATGCCACCCTATCCCCCCTCCTCCCTCCCCGGGCAAACCTACCTACCTACCCACCTACCACGTCTCATCCCCCACAGCCAGCTCGACGCCGTTCCACGAGAGCACCGAGCTCAGCCGGTTGGCCGAGAGTGAGAGCGTGAGCTTCAGGCGGGCGAGGTAGAAGCTGCCGTGGCGGCCCTTTGGCTTCTCGAGAAGCTTGCGGTCGATGCCCGTCAGGTCGTACTCCAGGACGTGCGAGACGGTGAGTTCTAAAACACACAACCAAACCACCAGATGTGAGCAATGGAGGGATTCAGGTCCATTATACCAATGAAAAATAAAGGACCGTAGCTAGGGGGGTTGGGCGGGAAAAAAAGGGGGGGTGCGGGGGTTCTCCCCCGCGAAAGTCACAAGAGGAAAGGGGACAAACGGAGGAAAAAAAGAGAGAGGGGGGGGTTTTTTCTTACCGTCCAACGAGTTCTTGATCTTGTTGGGCCGGTCCTCGTCGTCCGAGTACGAGTAGACGGTCAGGTGGCGCTTGGCCTTGTCATTCTCGCGGAACGACAGAGAAATCAGCTGGGACACGGTGGTCGGGGTGTCGGACAGGACCAGGTCGCCCTTGTTGAGCATCCACAGCAGCTGGCCCTCGACGATCTGCGAGTTGGTGATGGGGTTGACGGTGATGTCGCGCTCCTCGTGGTGGATCTTGGAGAACTGCTCGCTGACGCTGATGCCAAAGTGGCGCGGACACGCCGTCGCGATCGACAGGTTCGAGATGGTGTCCTTTTCGATGCCGTGCAGCACGGCGCCCCGGACCACGGCCGTCCACGACGTGTCGGGCCGTCGCAGCTTGATCCGTCTCAGGCGCAGCGAGAATTCAATCTCTTCTTGCAGGTAAGGCGATTCGCCGAAGCCGCCGACGAGGAAGATGTTCTGTCCCAAGAGCAAAAGCGATTCATTTTTTTTGGTTAGTATTTTGCTCTCTCTCTCTCTCTTCTCTGTTTCATCCCGCAAGAGAGGCGGTGTAGGTAGGTAGGCGGAGAAATCTCACCTTGACTTGCTTGCCCAGGTTGTCAATCTGGCGGATATGCCCCGTAAGCAAATCCATGATCTTGCCCACACAAAAGTCGAAGAATCCAGTCATTGTGGCACTAGAAGGGAAAAGAGTTGAGAGTGTTAGCAGGAGGGGACAACACTGGCTCAAGCATAGATGTCGAAGTGTGTGCTTTCTTACTTTGAGATCTTGATCTCGCCGCAGTCGACGCGGCCCTCGAGGGTCAAATTGTGCAGTGGCGCGGGCAGATCCAGCGCCATGTCCCTGTGGTTCTTGTGGAACTGCTTCTTCAGCACGTCAAACGACTTCATCAGCTCGCGCATGGCCTTGCTCTCGCACGTGTGCGAGCTGACGCGCTGCAGGTCCTGGTTCAGGTCGAGTTTCTCGTAGTATTTGTTGCCGAGCTGCTGTCTCAGCCATTCCTTGAAGGCTATGTCGATGTAGATGGCGCCGCATTTGTCGCCTGTCTGGAGCTTTAGCATGTATGTCGTCCATCGGGTGTCCGCACGGCTAGGACAGTGGTATAAAGTATAGAGCAAGGGGAAGAGATACACGTACCAGTTGGTACTCCGATTCTCTCCAGCACGAGTGACGGTTCCACCTGTTTGACCTTGTACGATACGACATCCTGCCACGCGAGAGTCCCACCGTAAGAATCTGCACAATTTCGGAGGATGTCACCAATGGATGAATGGGAAAGAGACTTACGACGGTACCACCACCCGCATCACAAAGAATGAAACATGAATTTGGCTAAATTCCGCGAGAATTTCCCGTCAGTTCCCAGTGCCTCCCAAAGAATTTCGCGGTCGGGCGACGCTCTCTCCCAGCACATTAAACCCACCTTGAGAAAGATTTCGCGGACCTCATCCTTCAGATACCGCGCCGTGTAGATTGCCGCCGCCTCGGGTTCGGTGATGAACAAGACATTGGCCAGCTTGGGGAAGTTTTGCTGGTTGAAACCAGCGGTGGTGAGGGCGCGGAAGGTCGAGTTTTTGGCCCGGTAGGACCATTCCTGTGAGTTCATGAGATTAGGGACGCAGGTAAAAGAGGAGGGCAGGGAGGGGGGTTCGGTTCCCCTTGGGGCTTATGAGAATTATCCCATACCGTCGGTACAGTGACCACAAGATCAACCGGGACGCGAATCCTGATGGAGAAGGAGAAATTGGCAATCGCCGCCAGCAGGTGCTCAAACACCCTCGTCAGGTAATCGGTCACGACCCTCTCGGCGGACTTGTCGCTAAAGGCGTGCTCGGCGCCCGCGCCCTTGATGTGCTGGAAGCTAAAGTCGCACATGCCGTCGAGGGCGTGGAGCATGAGGTCCAGCTCGCCCGACACGTCCTGCAGGTCGAGTTCCAGCTTGGTGTGGACGACCGAGATGGCGTGTTCGCTCAGGTCGTAACCCCACTGCTGCTCCATGGCCTCGGTCGACGGCGAGAAGGAGATGACACTGGGGATCTTTTTGTGGTTGCCCATGTTGTGTCCCCAGTCCTCCATCAGGTCGATCTCGTCGAGCGGGAGATAATTGGAGTTGGGAGTCGCGTAGGCGACACCTAGGCCTAGTGATCAGCAGCTGCAGCAAAAGAAGAACAAGTATACCAAAAACATGCGAGTCTACGTGTGTGGTGGTTGTATCAAGGGATGAACATACCCGTATACGTTGTGCCATAGTCCACAGCAATGACGAACCGCTGCTCTCTGTGCGGTGTCATTCCATTCTCGTCCATGATAATATGAGGGTGCTATGCAAGTATTGTGTAGGACTAGCTAAGAAGAGAGTCGTCCCCTCTACCGAAAAAACACCAGTAAATAAGGGCAAGAGACCACGACGTCAGAGTCAATCAGTCAGCAGAAAAGTGAGAGACGCGATAAAAAAAAAAAGAGCAGACGCCAGGGAACTTGTCAGGCCGTCAAGCAAAACAGAGAAAAACACATACATATACGAGTATGTAAGATTTCCCAAGGGTGGAGAAAGTGGGAGGAGGGGCAGGAGAGGGAATGGGCAGCTTGAGGCTGATCGGTAGGGAGAGGCATACTTAGCTAGTTGGTTTACCTCGTCGTCCAAGAAGGGACCAAGGAGCCCACATAGGTAAGGGAGACCAGTAGGTCAGGTAGCTAGGTACAGCATCGTCTTAGTTGGCCAGTCAGGCTGAGATTGGTTGCCACGGTGGTCTGGACAGTTTCTTTCGACGCCTCACGGCTGTCATTGTGATTGTGTAAGGTGATACGGGTTGCCGACATGTGTGCCACGGAATGAATAGTCCAGTTCTAGCCAGGCTCACCAGACCAGACCAACCTAGTTCAGCCCTCTGTATGCATCGCTTCCACGGGGGAGGGAAAGGGAGAGGCGTAGCATGCATTGCGTCCAAACAGAGTCCGGAATAGCCTCCACCAGAGCCACCCTCTTTTCTGATCTAGTCAGTCGAGTTGTAGACAGCGCTAATGCACGCGTACAGGCGACAGTGTGAGGCAACCTTACAGCCTCTCTCGTGTGTGTGTTTGTGAATGGGTGGGTGTGGAGATCCTAGAACAGCCCAAAGCACCAAACTAGCCAAAAGGGGTCAAGGTCTATTCAGCCCCGCTTTACGCCTCATGGCCCCCTCTACCCTTCCTCCTTCGGGCTGGAAAAGTTGGGAGAGGGACTCACTTGTCTTCAGCCTCATAAATGCCTTCTAGGACTATGTTTAGTTTTTCAATCTAGGCATCCGAATACCCGAGACACTCTTTGCAAACCTCAGACATCCAGCCCCATCCAAGGCTTGAGAGACCATAATCCAGCATACCCAACATCTTCAATGGGAGTAATAGAACTCTTCATCCAGGCCAGTCTACACTAATATTGTTACATCTTCATCTTCATCTACGGCACTCTTCCAGCATGGTCGGGTTAAGGAAAAAGGCGAGGGGCATGTTACGCGAGATTTCCAGCCCCAGCCTTGCTCCAGCACCTCTGCGTCTATCATCATCCAAAACGGAACCCAGTGACAAGTCCGAGGTGACTGACAAGAAAGCGGCTACATTGGTGACACCGTCTACCATTGCAGAGGGTTCACCTATCTCGCCTCTCTCCAGAACTACCACATCAGCCAAGGGAAAGAAGAATGCGGCGGAAAATGAAAATGTTCGCTCCCCAACAGAACCACCACTCATGCCCGACCATGATCCAGCAGCAAGCCAAAGTTCGGAATCAAAAGCCTCTACCAGGTCGCAACGAGCAGAGCTAGATCCTTTTGGAGACGGGAATCGCCTCTCGCAAAGTGCCACAACCATTCATGAGCTCGGGGATACATCGTCCAGCACAAAGACGTCGGAGAGCCGTGGTGGTCTGTTCAGGTTGCCCATCTCCATTGGCCACTCGAAGCCAACCACTATTGACCCTGCGGAGCTACCCGGCGATCAGCCAAAGCCAGCCTACACGAAGCTGACTTACAAACCGGCAGGCCCGTCGGAAGTGGACGCGACGGGCGACAGAACACAAAGTCAGGCGGACGGCCAGTCGAGTACAGGGGCCTCTCGCTCGACGAGGGCTGCTGACGATGAGCTCTATCGCCTCGAAAAGGAGATCCGGAGAGCTGCACAGGGAATGGTGAACGACAGTGACCTCGACGCTGCATTCAAGAAGCGGGGCACCAGCGGCGCGCTCAAGCTTCTCGTCGAGACGTACGAGCCGCTGCTGGCGGTGGAGAAGGATCTGGATGATCTCGAGGACAAGATTCGGGCTGCTATGAAGGGCCATGTCCGGACCATGGAGGTAAACGCAGAGATTAGAAAGCGTGGCACGGCGGGTGGTCTTCAGTTGTTGCTCGACCAGTGCCAGTCAGCCCTCAAGGCTGAGCAAGCCCTACGACGCGTCGAGGAGAGTTTGCGATCTGCAAACCACGACGTTCGGATGACTGATCTCAACAATGCTCACAAGACTGGTGGTGCCGAGGCCATGCTGGCCCTCGTAGTAGACGACTACCAGGTCAAAAAGTCTGCATCCCTCGTGCTGGAGCGTGTTGCAGGGCAAATCAGAAAAGCATCGCCCCAGACTGCGCGAAAGGAGGTGGACAATGCGTTGAAATCAAGAGAAGCGGGAGTGGAGAGCGCGCTGGGTATCCTCGTGGGAGCCTACCAACCATATGCCGATGCATACAAGGAATTGACTAACATCGAAGGCGAGCTCCGAAGGGCTGCCCGCGAAACCTCATGGTCCCAAAACGTCGATATCGTCTTGAAAAAGTCTGGTCCCGAGGGAGCTTTGAGGCTCCTCATCGAACATCTGCAAGCAAAGACAGAGGCTCTTCGCAAGATGGAAGGGCAGTACAGTGGACTTGAGCAAAGCTGGAAGAAATTGACGGGGGAGTGCCACGACCTCAGGCAGGGGCAAGCCCGACATCAAACCCAGATGGCCGAACTCAAATCCAGCCATCAAGCCAGAATGATCGATGTCGAGAAGACCTGGAAAGGTATCCTGGAAAAGCAACAGAGAGACGCAGCCAGCCAAGCACAGATGGCCGAACAACGCCATCGCAGCGAACTGGACAGCCGAGACACCATTCACCGAAATGAAATTGCGTCGTGGAGGGCAACCATGCAGTCTGCAAAGGAAAAGCACGAGAGTGAACAAAAGAAGCTGAAGGATGCCCTGTTAGACACGGAAAAACAAATCCAGCTTGAACTGGACCGCATCCGGGAAGAATTTGAGACGAAGGAAAAAGAGTCTCGCAAACGGGAGATGGAGAGGATCGAGCAATTCCGACTCGAGACGGAGGAATTGAAAGGGGAGCTGGTCAAGCGAGACCATTTCAAAGGCCTGTCAGACCCGGAGATCTGCACCCGCTTCAAGAAGCTGGCCCAGGAGGTCAACAGCTTCGCAAGGATCCAATGGGAAAAGAAACGAGAAGGCCGGTGGCCGGTTCAGGAGTACGCACTGCGACGGTCCGAGAATCCTCGGAAGTTGAAGCAGCAGCTCGTGCAAGGCGGCATCTGGATGATCCTGAGGGACAAAATCTTCCACTCTCCATTCGGCGTTCTTGGTGACGAAGGCCAACGAATACATCGTGAATGGACGAGCGAGTTTGGCGAAGGTAAGCGGCATTGTTGCCCTGGGATTTTTTGCTTCCTCCTCCCCAGTAGTTTCCAGGCTGATGAAATCCTTCCATCCCAGATCAAGGCTCGGAAATGCCACATTGGCCAGAAGCAACCGAGGAATCCGAGACGTGGCGTTTCGACCGCATCAAGGACTATTGGGACGCCGCGAAGAAACCGGACTCTGATGCATCTATAAGGCTGAAGCCTGCGTATGATCAAAGCGTAACAGTCACGGTGGACGAGATCCGCAATGCGGTTGAAGCCATCGCGACCTTGTCGCCTCACGACCTCCAACTCATCCGTGAATTCGTCGAGCTCGCCGCCAACTTCTGGCTGGACGTGATGGCGCAGAAATGCAGGGTGTATCTGATCTTTCCCGCCCAGGGCACCAATCCCCTTATCCAGCGCAAGCCGTCCACGGCAACACTGGATCTTGTGATTCAGCCCGAGGTACGGAGGAGGGGGAATGCCCAGGGCCAGCGCTTTGCCCGGGAGCAAGTGGTGAAGGGATGTGAGGGACAAACGACCAATTACTAGGCCGCGTCAGCCTGAATGCGTCGGTAGGAGGGACACGGAGAGAAGTGTCTGTAGTTACGAGTAGGAGAAGAAGTTGTCCTCGTATCGGTTCGCGCACTAGGGCTGCAGGGAGCCGCAGGTGCAGATGCAGGGAGAAATCTGGACTTATGCACGCACTAGGACTCAGCTCCTGCAAGCCCGGTGCATCTAGCAAAACAAGGCAGAAAAACAAGGCACAACGAGGGTCGCTTGGAGAACTGAGGCTGGTAATTGGGCAAGTTTGAGCCTCATTGTGCTGAGATTGTGCTGGACTGGGGAGTGATGGATGCCTTTTTCCGCCTCACCCAAGTCAGTCAGATTCAAGTCCCATTCGATGCTCGGTGGTGGCTGCGACCAGCTTCTCTCAGCCTGATCAGTGACACTTCCCACCCCCCTCCCTCTGCCGACCAGGAACCCCCAAACATAGACACATAATGACTCCTTCATCTTTCTCGTATTCTTTCTCTTTTGTTCATATGTGTGTGTCTGTGAGGGACTTTGACTGGCTAATCTGTCGAGCAGATGGTGCTATGGTCGATCGATAGATATTGTCCCCTCTCTGATCGAGTCCAGCCTTTCCAATCTGATCGCTCGTTCACATTCTGACACCTATATCCTATGACACACGGTACACATTGACAAGTTTTATTCCACCTCTACAGGGACAAGAAAACACTGGAAGGGGAGAGAAGCTCGACTACAGTCACACGATAAGACATGGCGCCCCCTTCATCAATCATGCGGCTGTTCAAGACCGAGTACGTACACCTCAACCTCTTTATCCAAGACAAGCGAAAAAATACACACGAAACATTAACTGACCCTCTTTTCCCTCGTCCTCTTTTCCACGGTAATGTAGTAAAAACCTCAAGCTCATCTCCAAAGCCGACCGGCCCACCCCACGACCCAAGGGCCAAAAAGTCTCGCCCGAGGAGCTCCGGCGTGTGCGCGAGATGATGCGCCAACGGTACACGCTGGACCTGGAGATCTGGGGTCTACGCAATGTCCGTAACCACAACAGGGAGATTGTCGAGGACAAGATGCGCCGTGCCGACGCCCTGCTGGCCTGTATCCGCGCCACCGTCACCGCCATGGACGGCCGTGACTACTTCTCCAGGGACGACGATTACCAAAAGCTGCGCGAGATCAAGGCCCGTGTCATGGTCGGGGGGAGGAACTGGATGCAGAACCCGCCGTGGAATGAGGACTGAGTTGGTGCGCAACGTGACTGGAAGAGTTGGTTGGTTTGGCCGTGGTAGTAGCGGTGATGGTGATGGTGGTGGTCCTTGATATATGCTATACTCTACGCACGAACCAAGACTGGAACTCCATGTCTAGGTAGAGAGTAATTTGCCGTCGCTCCACTCAAGCTGCCGAATCCAGCCATGTTCAGCTTGACATGGTTCTGCAAGTTTGCTCTTCCTGATATTTGCCGAATGTGGGACGTTCATGATCAGCGGTGCAGATATATACAATGTGACCTTATCTTCACTATACATCGCGCCCGACACTCGCCTCTGGAAACAAACGACCAGGCTAGCAATTTAGAAGGGGGTATCATCGTGCCGATCCAGACAAAAAATGCTCTCAGAAATGCTCGCTAATCCAAATTCAAGATCTATTACCCAAGTGCCTCGCGCCCACAGCCATCCATATCATTGTAGTTTTTTGTGGTCGTCCACATGTGTCAAAGTCATAATCCTTCTGCCAAACTCGCCTTCAGGCCCTCTTCATCAACCATCGTTACCTGTACACCCACGATCTTCGGCGCCGGCTTGAACCCCGGTATAGGTCCTTTCTGATTGATGCCAGGAGGCCTTCCGCCCATGTACGACGAAAGCAACGATGCTTGTACATGGGTTTCACTCGAAGACGATGTGGTGACTGAAGCGGTCGGGGAAGGCAAGTCGACATCGGTCTTTACGGGCGCAGCACCCCATTTGCCTCTCACCCATCCACCGAGAAGACGCCCAAATCCCGAGGATGAAGATTGTCGGTTTTCTGACTGGGAGGGTGGTAGATCTGCCAAGCCGCTCAATGCGGCGACGCTCGAGCTGACACTCCGTTGTGGCACCTGATTTCCAATTGACACGTTGGCTGGCCAATCTGTGCCCAATGATATCGTAGAGCTCAATGCCGTGTATTCCGTGACGGTAGTCAATGGCTGTGCAGAAACGATCCTTCGAGTCGCAGACGGCGACAGAGCAAAGTATGCCTTGTTTCCCCTTAGGACACTCGATGACTGGGATTTGGAAGAACTCGGACGTTTAGCAATATGTATATCCATGCCAGATATTGACACTAGCGAGTCGTGTGAGGATGTACGTCGAAGGACGGGTTGTGTGGTAGGGTTAGAGGTCGCGTCGTGTTTATATGGAGTCGTGGGCTGAGACAGAGTGTTGTTTTCTGCTTCTTCTGTTGGTTCGTCTGACACATTCGCCACCGCTTCCCCTTCAATGAGTATATCTGGCGGCTCTGGCTGGATTGTGTTGTCCACTAGTTCAGCACCGACAAGAAGTTGGGAGGGCTTGGGCGTCAAATCACGAGACGATGACTCTTTGACCTCTTCTCCATGGCGGAGGTCAGCATCACCTTTCACGTCCGTGTTTTCGTCCTCTGGAAACACTTCGGTGGCGTCATCGTGGAAATCCTCTTCTGCCAGTAGGTCTTTTGTTCTCTCATCGTAATCAGATGCAGACTTGAGCTGGGGAGATATGAAACCGCCAGTCGACTCGGGACTCGTAGGCCTGGAGGACTCTTCGCCGGCTTCAATTCGGTCGAAAATGGAGCTGGATTGCTCTAGATACGATCGCGGAGAACTTGGGAAACTCGACATTACAGATGAGCTGGTTGCAGCGGACTGTAGAGACCATCGCTTTCTCATGGCTTGTGGCTGATGGAGAGCGATGGGCAACACCGGGCTGGAAACGACTCGATATGGACCGGCCATGGGTGTTGTAGGTGCAGAAGACTCTGGCGTGGATGGAAGAAAACCCAGACCCAGCGCTGTCCTTTTGCGAGATGGCCTTCGAATCGTCGGAGCCCGATCTCGCTTCGCAAGTTTGGCGTGATAGTGGTGGTGGACATGAACGGATTGTTGCACACTCGCGGAGGGCTGTGACCAGCCTAGTTGGTCGCTCAAAGGTACTGATGTGGAGATGGCCCCAGGATTGCCGTCGTCTACAGGCTGGTGCTCCAGGATCTGCTCTCTCAGATTCTGCACCTCCTCGTTCGACGCTTGAAGCAGCTCCTTTAGCTCAACAATACCAGCCTGCAGATTGGCGTTGTCTTGGAGGATGTCCCGCACAAAGTGGCCGACCACATTGCTGTTCTTCTCGTTGGCGTTGAGACCGCGAAACGCAGCAGCGGATTTCAGTCGACCTTCCGCACCCCCGAGTTCCCTCTCCAAGACACGTTCACGTTCGAGCCTCGCAATGATCTCTTCGTAGCGCTCTCTGTCCTCCTTTGCATCCCACTCGATTCGTTGAACATCATGCTCGAGTTGGCGCACTTTGATCTCGCTCTCTCTCCACCGCTTGATCGTGCTCCGGATTTCCCCTCTCGCATCATCTGCCTGTTGGGCCATTGTCATTCGTTCCCTCTCCATCTCAAGTATTTTCAGCTCCAACTCCTCTGTACGCCGACTGAGACCGTTTAATCTTCTAACCTCGACTTCACAGTCACGGAGGAGCGCTTCGAGGCTCTTGACATGGTTGTCGCTCTCCTTGAGAGACGTATTGGCCGATTCGAGCTGGGTCAAGAGTTGCCGATTTTCCTCCACAATCTTGTCGTTTGCAGTCTGCAAAGTGGCCCTTTCGTTCTCCAGTTCGTTGATATAGGCCGTTAGCCGCTGGTGCTCGTGTTCCGAGTCGGAGACGTAGGATTCATGGCGGCTAAGAAGTGCCTGAAGAGCAAACGTTAGCCCACTGCTCGTCTTCATTCTCTCGCCTGCGGCGGCTCTACACCCAACTGATGAGGGCATAAAGAAATCCATCTCTTCGGCCGCAGCCTGCAACGCGCTGAATAAACACAAACGGGACATGAACCAGCAATATGGGGGGTGCAGGACTACATAACGGCAGCCTCGTATTGAGTCTCTCGCATAATCTCAGCTGCAATCATGCAGGATCGTCCAGGCGCAACCAACGGTGGGTGGGGGCAAAACATGAACAATACCCGATATTCCGAAATGTTGTGGTGCACGTACCTGACCCAATCTTGCGGCGGTCTCGAGATCTCTCTCGATGCCGCCCAGGATAGTGTTGTTGTTCTCCAGAAAGGCACATTCTGTCCGCCCACAGCAACACCGTAATTTCCCATCGCTACTTGGGGGACGAGAGTCATTGGACGGGGTCATAACGGTGGTGTTAACGTTGTCCGGAATGTGGTCTCGGCGCGCGTCGTCCAAGCTTGGGAGGGTGAGAAGATCATCGTTTGTGGCGCAAAATGATCTAAAGCGGGCCGAGGTGTTATTGAAGGGCGACGACATATTGCGCTGAGCATGGTGCAAGATCTTGAGGGGAGGACCGCAAGGGCTCGAGAAGCAGGAGTCGCAGGTGAGGATGAGGGGAGTCTGAGGTGGAAGTGGTCGAGGTCTCTCGCGATAATCGGGATTCTGAGCAGCCCAGCCCTGGCCTGGCACCAAGTCGCGTTGGGATGGTGGAGAAAAGGTTCCGTTCGCTCGTTTTTCCCAAGTTCCAAGGTGGCCCTTGATCGCCGCGGCTGCGATCGAGGGGACGATTGGTCCAGCCTCGTCTTTCACTGTCACTCCAAATTGGTCTCCATTGGTCTCCAATCCGGCCACTGACACCCTATCACCGTCATCACGATCGATAATCCATCGAAACAAGTGCTCCGCAATAGAATCGTAAACAATCCAAAAGAGTAATTATGCAACAACGTTTGCACCAGATCGGGACCGGAAAAGAAATGCGCTCGCTAACCAGCACACATGAGCTGACCTACGAACCTACTGAGATTAACGAGGAGCGAATACGAGGAGGAAATGACATTTTGTAGCCTGAAGTCTAACATATTGTCAACAGAGATAACTACCAGGACACCCTCAGTCAGGTTCCTGCATCATGGGCCCTCGTCTCCTCCTGTCAAGAGCCCGCTGCACAGCTGCCCTCACTTCCGGGTTTCGTTTCAATGCGTTTGTGACTAAAGACTCCTTCATGCCTGACCTCAGATGATCTGACTTCTCTGCATCTCCCTTAAACGGACTCAATCCCAATTGAAGCAATCCTCCCGACTCTGCATCCAATCTACCCGCCGCCTGAGCCAAGTGTGCAATCTGCTGCTGCGTCTGCAGGTCTCTCATAGCCGGATCCCGCGCCTTGGGAGGAGCGAGTTGGGAGATAAAAATATTGACAGACATGGACATCCGTCTGGCAAGGCCTAGAATTTGGAACGGAAGAAGATGTGGTGGAAGGAGATCTGGCAAGAGCCTCTGAGCCGTCGACACCCATAGTGCCACAAGTCTCGGAGGTTGCCAGATGTGTGTAAGGAAGTACAGCTCCAGAAACGCCATACAGGCAACCGCAAAATAGCGCCAGAATTGTCCCCATTTCGGCAGCCATATGTAGTTGAGCAAAATAAGCAGCCCGGCATTGGACAAATATTCAGGAGCCTTTGAGCGAAGGCCAGCATACACATAGTCTCGGATCGTTTTGAGCCCCGGATGCTGGACTTGAACGATGACGGGTCCGAACCGATCGTACGCGAACCGTTTTGCAGGATCCAAGATAGTGTCGTGCGCCAGTTTGAATCGGACGAACAGTCCATCGGCCCCTGGAAAAGGTTGACCATTCTCATGCAACTTGTCCGGGTGATATTTCGCCGCCAACTTCCTGAAACGACTCTTGACTTCCCGCTCTGTCGACCACGGCGTGACTCCAAGTAGGGTATAGAAGTCTCCAGCGAGTCTAATGTCATAGAGGGCTTGAGAGAGGGTGTATATGAGGTAGAGCGACAAAACCAAGACGCGTATGCGGCGGTTATGGTAGGCAAATATGGGTTCACCGGGCCGCGGGTGTGGTTGTCCAGCGCGAATGGTCAGACGATAGTATATCGACTGCAGGAAGGCTGTAGCGTACTGGGTTCAGATCAGTAAGATGCCTCCAAAAGCGCTGCGCTGCGCTGCTGAACCACATACGGCAGGGAGGAATGCCCATCCCACAAGAGAGAAGGCTTGTGTCACCACGCTATCGGCCATTACAATCGGGTGACGCAGGGATCATGACATTCTTCCAGGGCCGAAAGAGGTTTTTTGGGTCTCTACACTGGTGCAGAGGAACAGCTGTCCATCTCAGGGTCAAGACAGTTACTAAATGTGGTCGTGTAAGAGCAGATAATAGTGGTGTACGTTTTGGGAGGGCCGATTCGGATCAAAGTAAATGCGAACCCCGAGCCACAAACTCAAGTTTCACTCTCTTCATATGCAATCCTCTCACCATGCGATCGCCATTGGCAAATATCATGTCCATTCACCCTGCTGATCCCGGTACTTGAACAGCGCTCAACCGCCTCGGGTCATTCAACACTGCAATAACGAACAGTGATGCCTTACGTCGTCGACTACCTGAACTCCACCTCTGTCCCAACCCAATCAATCATAGTGCAGATGTCCTGTCACTTGGGATACCAACTCGCATAACTATACGATGATCATCTTCGCATCGCGCTCACAATGATGAGGCGGATGTTACCTCGGTCTGCTGCGACCTTTTGTCATCGCTCCAAAGATCGATCCCGCCGGCCGACATGTCCGACGAGCCAGTATTTTCCCAGTCTTCCAGCGGCACCGTCACCTGTGGCGTCTCTTTCCATTTCCATACTATGTTATCGCTGTCCAGGGTGAAAAAATGTGGCAGTTCGCATCCGGCAAGCCAGCGCTCTGTATGATCTTGGCCTTGGTCTGACAGGATCCACGAAAGGAGGAATGATGTCAAACGTGTCTGATCCTGCCATTGCTGTGACTCTGGCTCTGGTGTCTGCTCATGCAAGCTGGACTCGGAAATATCGTCAGAGATATTGTCAGGCGCGTTCGAAGACAGCCTCGAGTCTGTCATGCTTTGAACAATGAGTGTGGTGTCTGTTGTGGGGGCCTTATTGGATTGGAGGTTCGCTAATTGTCCAAAATCATCCAGGTGCAGGTCGTCATCGTCAATCCGACCATCAGTCAGACACAAGCACACGTTACATGGCGTCATCGAGTAAGCCAGGTCGGAATCGCCTGGCCAGACGCCTGAGGACAAGATTTTGTCTTTTCCGTTGCTTGCAAAGTGCGTGTTTTCGCGGCTTCGAACCACAGCTATCTCACAGTGGAGTTTGCAGGTAGGAGGATGTACTAAGTGGTTGTCGAATTGTGCTCCAAAATGCACAAGCGGAGTTGCACAAGTTTCCTCTCCAGGAAGCAAGAGTTCATTGGGTGGCGAGGTCATCCAAACAATTTGTCGATCCATTATTGAATGGCTGGAAAGGCAGGCGCGACGGCTGAGAGCTGTCAAATAGACAATGGAAGCACAACACTTTGTTCTCTCGTGTCAACGGCATATCAGCGGATACTTCTCTATAGCGATTCAACTCGGACTACGGACCCTTAAGTATCCTGGTACCATGGTCTGGGATGATCACAGCGCCAGACACCATGGTTTGAAGCGCCCTTTACCACGGTGTTGCGCCTGTATGATTTGAATTCTCCTTCCTGGAGAAACGCCCCCGGGCGTTGAGGATGACGCTCTTGGACGCACTCCTGGATGCAACGAATCCGATAGGCGACGTCGATCAGGTCGTGGGGGTGGACCGCGCCGGAACTTCCACCCTGCATCCGCGGTCGAACGCTACAGCCAGATTTACCTAAGTACAATTCCTCAGGACCCCCGGCCAACCGAGTTGGTGTCGTTTCTTCAGGGCTTTTGCATCGCCTCGAGTATCTCTCACCCTCGTGCCGTGCCTAGACTTGGAGAGTCACACGAGACAATCATCACATTCAAGGCGGGGGACCGGGATTCGGGAGCCTAGGAAGCAAGACTTTCTTTTCCCCACGCTTGCCATCATAATCAGCACAAGATCGAATCCAGAATGCCCGTCTGCGAACCAACGAATTAGACTAATGGAAACAATGCACGGCTTTTCAGCCTGGCAATAAACAATGTCGGACTGAGCCAAAGACAACTCGAGATCCAATTCCCTCATTGTGGTCCTACTGCTGAAAGGCATACCTCGGGATGTCTAGTGCCGTTCATCCTTCTCAGGTTTCGAGTCATTTCCCACTGATGCCGAAGTTCTCCTCCTTCTGGCCACTTGGGGTCGATCTCACAAACCACGGCCCGTTGTGTTTGGGCTTCATTTGGGAGGGGTTTCCGCACTTTCTTCGCTTCTTATGCAAACCACCCTTTCTGGAATCTGCCTCCGGAATGGCACCGTCTGCTGAAGGTAAATGACAGTCTCTGTCCTTGTGTCACCATACATCGGCTGGCTCGATGGGGTCTGACTCGACCTTTTTGACAGATGTCCCTGTCCGTCGATTCCTGGCTCTCTTACCAGGGGACGCGCTGTTGTCAGGGGTGGTCAATAATCAGGCGCCGGCATAGCTGAACTCGAATTCGTTGAACTTGATCTTGCCCGAATATGGTTCGCCACTGATGAAGTCGAGAAGCATATTCCTCAAACTCAACTGCCGGTTTTGAGGAAGATACTTCACCAGGTTGGCAATCCCGCTAGCACGCCAGTGACAATCCCGCAAATTCAATTTTTGCAGTGCATCTCGCACTGTCACTGTCCCAGCACTCGCCAAGCGTGGCTTTGCGTCGCGATAGTTTTGGCATATCATCCAAAGCAGGTCGGCCACCGCTTGCTCTTTGCCTAGATCATGCTCGACCAACAAATCTTCAATGTAACCGACGTAGGCGTGGATTGCCACCTGCAGTGCCATCATCTTGGACACCAATTTTAGGTGACTCTGCACTTCCAATACTCCGAGGACTCCACACATGATCGAGATGAGGATTAGGACGCACCGTTGCTGTGCGATGAACTCGTCGATGTCGCCATAGACACTCACACTCTTCCCTGTTGTCTCCCGGAACAGGAACTCATGCACCCTCAAATCCTCGACGACATAGGGGCCTTTGTCTTTCAAGGGTAACAACTGCCTATCTTTCCACATCCGATCGACGTCTCTGAGGAGAGACTTTAGCCACCCCAGTCGCATATTTGCGTCTTCTCCTCCCCACATCCAGCTCGCCTCGGGGTCCCGATAGATCCCCTCGAACCAAAGTGCCTGTTCCTCTCTCAACCGATCGTGGAGGCCGTCTTGCAGGCCTATCTGACGGATGATGTCCCTACCGGTCCTGAAGTGAAGCACAGCCCTCTTACGCTCTCCATATCGTTGCTCAAACGACGCAAGACTGATGATGGACGTCAAGATCAGTTTGAGATCGGCGTTGGAGCCAAGTTCCACGTTTTCCCGAAGAATTGTGATTGCTTTGGTCTGGTGCTTCAATGCCGCATACTCCAGGGCCTTCTTAGTGGCCGGCGTGGCGTATTTGGCATTCATGCGCAGTTGGTGCAGCGCTGAACGAGCCATCAACGTATGGAAATGAGTCAAACATGAACCCGCTTGATACTCCCAGGATCCTTTGATCGAGGGTTTTATCTTGGGAGACAGGGCATAGGCGGTTTGCCAGTAGCTGTTCTGGCCGTAGAAGTGAAGGAGCTGGTTTGTCACTCCATCAACCTCGATGGGCAGTGTCTCGAATGGGTCGACGAGGCATGCTGATATTGCTTTAGGCGCAGGCGGTTTCGGACTGTTGATGAGATGCCGCGATCTGACACTTTGGGTACTGTACGAGGTCGTACTGCGAGCCTTGGGTCCCTGGGAATTTCCAGCAGCAGAAGCCAGCTCATCTTCGGACGTATCCACGTCGTCTGTTTCCCAATCTGTCGGGGGTGTCTCCGTACCATACAAGCTCGATTCCGGCATGGTTACGAGCAACCCGGCCCCCAACTTACAACTCTTACATCACCCTTGCTTCGTTGAATACAAGGTTCCGGCAGGAGTGACAACCAGGGTTCTCATGAGAGGGGCTGGAGTTGAGGAATGCGTGAGAAATCGCGAGGGACGAAACGGGGTGCGGGCGTCCTCATACGAGCTTCGTCAACGGGGAATAGGCGCTCGCTTGCCGGCCGAAACATCCAACGAAACGCGAAATGGTTCGACTCGTTGGGAGTGCCCCGCTTAGACTTGTTGTTCACTTGGAGACGGTTCGATGTTGACGAGTTGATGACAGCCACTTGTTTGCCTTCCCAGGCTTCCCGTGGTTTGGACTTGGCCGAGTGTGAATAGGTTGCTAAGCCGGACTGAGAGGGATCCCGCCTTTTGCGAAGCCCGAAGCCGCCCCAATCTGGACATTTAGGCATGTCGATCGTTAACTAGAAGCCCTAGACCTCGCTTAGAGAGATGGTCCCCGTCTTTCAACTCGCAACTTTTGTCACCTACTGCCTTCCCCTCTCTGACCGACTGTCCCGCCTCGCCGCCTCGCCCACCCAACGGCCAGAAAGCTTGAAATTGTTCTTTCGATTCAAAAAAGTATATTTCGGTCAAGTCGATGACAATGTTGCCGTCGAGTCAGACACAGACACATAATTAGGGCGCCTGGACAGGGTTGTTTACGAGTAGCTGTCGTCTGGCCAGGGCGCCACGGCTGCTGCGATACCGGTCGTTTGAAGTGGTGGAGTGACATAGACTCAGTACACCGACAAGATCTTCTCAGGCGCGGCTTACGGCTCTCCTCCCGAGGCCGAGGAGAGAATGCATTCCCATATACAAGGGGTCCAAAAAGATTGACAACATGAAAAAGATAAGAGGCAGAAACACAGACGATGGCCCTGGAAGACGGTGACAACATGTATGTAGGTGCCCACTTGTGTTCCTCTGCCGTGGCATGGTTTTAGGTCGTCGTAACAGAGCATAAGCCCGGGAATCTGTGGTACCAACATAGGTACCAACGCATCTGCGACGGCATGGCTTGAGGGCCTGTGCCGCAGTAAACATGGTCCTGATGGGCCAGATGCACGATCATGGAGCCCGTAGGGGAGAAACCGCCAACAGGCGCTCGAAGTACGGGGTCCCGAGTACATATGTCGCGCGTTCGGCTCGCTTTACGGCACGACGGTACTCGAAAACCTCAACCAACCACGACGACATACATACCTACTTGCTAGGTACTCGGAACATACAACTAGGTAAACAGACATGCAATTTATTCTCGCTGAATCACGAGATGGTTGTCGATGCATGGCAGATCATATTATGCTGTAAGGTCGGTATACTCTTCTGGGAGACTTGTCAGATACCGAGGTACATATTACGCCCATCTAACAAAAGCACCTTGCTCGTCCTCCTAGAACGATATTGGAATGCTCTTGAGCATCACGCCTACAGGTAGTGGTTCTGCTAGACTTGTCGTCATTACCATGGAGACTGCGCAGATGGCATCAGGGCCTTCCTGCCAGGCTATTCGATACGAGTAGGTGACTAAGTACCGAGTACAAAGACGAGAATGGTGATTGGGGGCTGCGGCGATTGGCGGTTAGTCGCCTAGGGTGCCTGGCAGGGCCTTCGACTGATGTTAGGTAAATCTGGCACTCCTGGCTAGGTGTATAGGTACCTACTTATGTACGAAGGTACTGTACATAGGTATACGAGGGTGTAGCAGCATGAGGGGTCGAAGGGGCGCGGAGAGACAAAATGTTGATCCCCTCCCCGCTGGAGACTCGGCGGCAGGCACCAGACGGCGGAATTCATCATTGCGTCGAATCGTGATAATTTACCAAAGAAAAAGGTGTCACGGGCACTTCAAACCAGGTTGTGTTTCATGTATCAAGGAGACTACCACAGCTCCATCTCCTCACTTTACGACTTACAGGACAACACTTGACTGCGCGGCGCTTGTCTGCGTCTGCGTGTCAGTCTGTATCTCTTATCTGTATCCCTGTCTCTGTCTCTGTCCCTGTGACTGTGACTGCGAGATCCTCATGGAAGGCCGCTGCCAATGCGGGCAGATCCGGTTCCGCACGCCCCTCCCGGAACCCCAGGCGCTGTACATCTGCCACTGCACCGAGTGCCGGCACCAGTCGTCGTCGACGTACGGCATGACGGCCATCTTCCCCTTCTTCGACATCGCGGCGTTTGCGCCTCATCCGGGCGCCATCGCCGTGTACGCGCGCCCGAACCCGCACGGCCGCACCGAGGGGCACTTTTGCACGGCGTGCGGGAGTCGGCTGGTCCATGTGGCTGTGTCGTCATCGTCGTCGTCGTCGTCGACGTCGCAGCCGCGCACCCTGAGCGTCAAGGCGGGCTGTCTCGACGGACTGTCCAAGGAGATGATGCGTCGCGCGGTGCACATCTGGACGAGGTCGGCCGTGGTGGATATCCCGGAGGATGCGGTGCAGTATGCGGAGGAGCCGCCGGGGGGGGGGTTTCAGGAGGAGGAAGCGGCCGGCGAGTGAATTAAAGAAAAAAGGTGACTGAAGTCAAGTGAAATTGGGTTGGATTTGTATTGCTTCCGCGTTTTGCTCTGAATTTGAATGAACTTGGGGGGTTTTGTCGGTTTGATGGCCCCTGGCGCGGCGAGGGGAGGGATAGTAAAGGTCTCTTCTTCACTATTTAGCGACTGGAGAGGCGAGGGCTCGACCCTGTCTGCTCTCTCGGAGGCACAGCTCATCTTTGAGCCAAGCCAGTCGATTCCCTCAACCTCGACTCAGCGACCACCACCACCACCACCGCAGGCAAGAATCTCGCATTGAGATGACATGGGATGAAAATAGGCCCAGCATTACAGGCTGTACGCTGACCTCTGTAGACCGAGCCTGATCATGACGACGTCTCCAGCACCGGCGCATGCGCTAGTCGCGGCGGCATCTTTTTCTTCTCCTCCTTGTTCTCTGGCTGCGGCTGTCCTTGTGCTTGTCCTTGACTCTGCTGCGCACCCCCGCCGGCCTGCCCCCTTGACCCACCTCGACTGTCTCCCTCACGTTCGTGTTCTTGTCGCCGTTTACTCTCTGAGATGTCGTATTCCTCTTCGTCCCTGTCCTTGCGGTCGCAGCACCAGCAACACATGAGCATCAACCAATTCACGAGGTCGAACATTTTTGGGCGAGTTTCTCCTTTCTGCCCGTAGGTGTCGTTGAATATTTTGGCTCCGTTGATGTTTTGCTAGCCCTGCGAGCAAGCTTACCAGCCGACGAGTCTGCCGTGCCCTGGCCCGATTCTGCCTTTGTGCTCTCTCCTGTGCTGTCCCTGCCTGTCTCTGACTGTGTGTGTTGGCGGTGTGTTGTGCTAGAGAGAATGAACAAAGTCAATGTCGACAATCTATCGATCTTGGAATTAATCACATGACCAGACTCGGTACAGGGGGCGTGATTTGGTATTTACACACCTAATTGTGGAGAATCCTTGCCGCGTGTGTCAGGTATGTAGGTAGTGATCAGTACTCAGTTGCCAGCTAAGTTAGTATGACGGCTTGTGAGGCCCAAAAGAAAATGGAGGTTTCTTGGGAACGTGTCCGATCTATTCTGTAGAATTGAAGTGAAGGAGAGTTGAGGGAAACGATGGAAAAAATTGCTCGTCGTGGAAAGATTGTAGTGAAAAAAAGGTATTGGTCGAAACCCCGTGTACGAGGTAAAAGTGTCAAAGAGAGTGTGTAGGGGGTGGCTGTGTTGGGTGTTGGGCGAAATCCGAAAAAAAGTGAACAAAATTCTCCGATCGGGAAAGAATAACGTATTATTCTTGTCTCCTGTTTGGATGGATGATGTGTTTCAGGTCTAAACTGTGTGGATGAAAATGTGTCTCAGGAGACGTGGAGTGAATCAAGACAGCCTTGCACTGCCTTGTTTGTCTGTGGGGAACCCAAGCAGTGAAAAAGCGATAAGAGATAAAAAGGGGCGTTGTTGCCTTCAAAAAAACAAAGTCAGCCTTGCCGTTTCAGATGCGAGGGACCACTTGAACTGCATCGATGTACCGATGATATCGTACACGTGTATCGAGCACGACAAACAAGGACATACTAGGTAAGTAACTCGGTACGTGTAGTCCAGCAATTCAAGCTCCTTCTCATGATATGTTGACGCGTCCTTTCCTTTTGGTTTCACGTGGCGATGGAGACAGGACAGCAGGCGCGTATGGCCAGGTTGGAAAGGCTGGAAAGTCTGGATAGGTTGGCATACACTCGGGTGCAGTCATATGGAAAGGCACAAGAAAAGATCATCTGCAACTGTCCAGACCGGCAACTGGTTCCAAGAATAAACATTATGTACGAGGCGTGATGCCCAATAAATCTCCGTGTATGTATGTGTATGTGTACGTGTGTCTGCTGCTTGCTGTAAACTCCCGTGGGGTTCTATTGCGTATCCAGGGTCGAGAAAGGTCGTGGACGTACAAACACGGGCTGTTCTCCTCCCTTCTATCCCATCGTCCTACCTCCGTTTCTCTCAGACATAAATGTAGCAGAAAGGACCCGCGGTCGTCCACAGTGCGTCCTTGTTCTGTATCGTCTGTCCCAGACTCCCCATAATGATCGGATCGGTCAGCTGTCCGGGCGGGCTGTTGACGGGATCCAACGTCGAGGTGCCCCCCGCAAAGGCGTTTCTTCTGTTCTTCGGGTCCTGGTTCTGCCAGATCCACCAGGTCCGGTCGATCTGCGCGTGGTGCAGGAAGAACGTCGGCTCCGCGGGCGAGGCGAAGAGGTCGCCGCCCGGATCGCCGCCGGTCGTGAAGTGGCCGCCTGTGTGGACGCCGTAGAACCCGACGCTGAAGTCACCCTGCATGCGGTTCTGGAACGACAGAATGTCGTTGTAGTGCGAGATCAGGTCATACGAGTCCGAGTCCTTGGTCCAGTTCGAAGACACCCAGGATGAGATGTCGCGACGAAGACAGCGAGGGTTGTAGGCCAGAGGGTCTGGATTGGAGTAGTTGATGATGCCCGGGATATCCAAGGTCGGCGCCACGGGACCCAAGTTGACCACGTAGTCCTTGAAGGGTCCCGTGTTCACACAGCCACCGCCAGACCCGGGAGGAATGCAGTTGATCTGCGTGGGCAGGCCTTCGGTGCAGCCGTGGGGCTCGTAAGCACCGTTGCCCGACATGCTGTAATCGCTGCCGTCGAACAGGGGTGAGTGAAGAGGATCAAAGGCGTACTTGCCCCAGTTCCAGTACGGTTGATATCCCGTGTAGCCGCATTCGTTTCGAAGCGCCTGTTCAAAGTTCCACGTGAAGGTCCGATGCCATGCCAGGAAGTTTGCAGTCCCGTGGATGGACAGGGTTTGGTTGATATGGACCGCGACAAAGTCGTCGTACCGGGACCGTGCGCCTGCTGCAAAGTTGGGGTCTTGCGATGGCTTCGACATGAGGCACAGCTCCGCCGCAATGTACGCACGCCTCTCGTCTTTGGAGAGCGTGGACCATTCTCTGCGTACAGCCGCATTGAGCAAGTTGCAACTTCCGCCTGACGGATTCGTCACCTGATAGAACGCGAGGTTGACAAGACCTTTGGCTGCTAGGATATCGGTCTGAAGAGTTGAAGCTGGTATGTAGATAGAGGCAGTAGACACATCCGCATCCCGCTCCGACAAGTCGTTCTCGACAGGAGCTGGTGCTGCGCGTGTACTACCGATGGCCAACAAAGCCGGAAGGAGAAATTGGAAATGCATGGTGCAAGGGTATGAAGAAACAAAGCTCTTTCAAAGAAAGTCAAGGAGTGGACGGTCGACACCTAAAGTCAGGTTCGAGCCAAATAATAATGGAACGCTCTTCGCGGAGGCAGATTTCCCAGAAGAAGAGAAAAACCTGGATCCCCGCTGGTTCCGCTGCAGTTATAACGGTCTTTATTGGGGCATCTATAGCTGCCACGAGGTTGTTAGCAGGCCACGCGAGACATTAGCCAAAGGAAATGAGATGGTAAACGTTGACACGCGGCAGTCGATAGTCTATCTCAGCTCGCGCATAAGCATCTCGGGTATTTAAACAACTATCGAAACATTCGTCGGAAGTCAGAGCGAGACTCTAGCGAGATGCTCTCCGGTAGGCATGTTGAATAGGCGACCACATCAGTGAACTTTAAGCGGAGACGATCAAAAGCTTCATGATCCATGGGGGTAAGTTGTGTGAAGTGGTGTGTGAGAATGGAACCCTGCATGGAGCAGGTACTCGTAGCATGATGGGGCTTTGTGCCGATCACTGCCGTTCATGGGCCCTGGCACCCAGGCCATGATGACTGATTTCGGCAATTGCACCACAATGCAATACAAGACATTGACAGGGTCTAGAGATTGCAGGTGTGTATATTGGGGCCATGATCAAGACGCCGACTCCGAAGCTAATATCGATCAAACGCAAAGAGAGTGAAGAATCTGGTGTCTTGAAGTCCAGAGGTACTTTCTACCTCGAACTGTGCGTATACCTGGGTGGAAGGTTCTACGGTAGGGGGGTTAAATCAACGCGGGATGCTTCGGAGAGATGGGATTTTGCTGCGGAAGAGATATTCGGCTGAGGGCAGATGGCCACGTTGGTCATTTGGAACGTGCCGAGCGGAACGAGACGCTAAAATGACTATCCGGGGTAGAGTTTCGGTGACTATACCATAAGTGGTATAGCTTATCTCTAGCGCAAAAGGCTAATTCCAACCCTGCCAAGGACTTTTTCTTGCACAATGTCTCTCCTGCCCAAGTGCTGTGCGTGTGTGTCTTTGAGAATCTCGTACTGCACGAAGTATGAGTCGCTGCATTGTCGGGCTGTTCCATTGTGACATCGCACTCTCCTTCGTCCTTTCACAGGGCTCACCAGCTATTATAACCCACACGAAGGTCATTCACCATGAAATGCCTTACTCGACTATCACGAGTCACTTGCGCCGAGGAATGCCGAGCTTGGTTACCGAGTACATTTCTGTCCCCTCCAGCCCGGGGTCTATCGCGCTATACTGCAACCTTTTGTCTGAGCGTGAGGAGAATTCCAAGCATAATCCATGCAAGCACCATCCAGCCCCTCGGAGCTATTGTACTACATTGGGCTAAAGTGATCAAATATTATTGCACAATATTAATGCAAAGGCAGCGCCTCGACCAGATGTCTCCACGCTCCCCTGCACCGCTGTTATACCCTTCAGGGCAAGATTCATGCAGTCAGAAAGTGAGTTTTCCCCTGGACCAGGCCCTGATCCACTCCTACGCTGAAGTGGCAAATCGACTACACATGTGGACAGGAAGGGAAGTGTCGAGGTCTGTAAATCTTCTTCTCGCCCGAGTACAGCACAGAACGCTAGGGGTATTTACCCAGCGCGAACAATGCGCCGGCGTTCTTGTCTCCCTGTTTTGGTGGGTAGTTCCAAGTTGGCGCTCAATGGGATTATAGACAAGGCACAACAACCACACCAAAGGCAACAAAATGCAACCAGGACTAGACCAAAGGTGAGTCTGTTGAGCTTTTGAAATAGCATAGCTCCTAAGGTATCAAGTGCCGGCCAGGTCTCCCGGCCCCCAACCGAGGTTTGTCTGTGTCTTGAAACTGCAAAAAAGCGCAGGACCTCAGGAGGAGGAGCTCCGCGGTTCATGTCCACAGGGGAGCGAGCTCAGAATGAGTGTACATAGCCAACTTGAAACTACAAAGAGCTTTGAACCATCTTGTTCTGACAATTTCAACCCCGTCAATCTCGCATTGTCCAGATGTCACAGGCCACCTACAACTGCCTTGCCTGGTTGATGCGACAATTGACACGCCTTCAGCAACGCCATGGTTATTTCGGGTCTTTCTCAGCTTTTGGAGAGGCAAGCCGCTGCTACTCCTCAATACAAGGATGAATCCAACGCCGGCGCCCTGCTCGCAATACACGGCACCTTCGGTGGCGTTGCTATCCTCACGGTTCTCCTTCGCGTCTTTGTGAGAGCGTTCCTGCTCAAAAGCCTCGGGACCGATGACTATGTTATGATAGCAGCTGCGGTTAGTCTCCTGAGACGCATAGCCCTCCACCCCCGAGCATTTTCTCTAACGGACTATTCTACCAGGTTTGCGAGGTCGGCGTCATTGTCTGTTTCGTGGGCGAGAGCAATGCTGGGCAACTGGGGAGGCACCCAGCGCTTGTCAGCTTGCCTGATAGCACTCTCTTTTCGCACTGGCGGTTCTTCCATTCCATCATCATCATGGTCGGCATAAGCCTTGTCAAGATCTCCATCGCCTTCTTCCTGCGCAGATTTGTGCTCAGCAAAAACCACCAGCGTTTTCTTTTGGGGTGCATTGTCTTTCTCGTTGCCTTTACAATATCCTGCGCAGGAACTCTGATCTTCAACTGCGGCACGCGTGTGGATGCGAACTGGAATTTTGGTCTACGGGCGACTGGACAAGCCAAATGTTTCAGCAACAACACGTTTACAAATATTGGTATTTTCAACAGCAGCGTCAACATTGCCACGGATGTTCTTTTTGCACTGCTTCCCATACCGGTGGTGTGGAAGCTGCAAGCAAATCTGCGGACAAAGCTGACTCTATGTTTTGTCCTAGGCTTGGGCCTCTTCGCCTGCGCCTCAAGCATTATCAAGACGGTCAAACAGGCCCATGCCCTCGAAGACCCTGACTGGACCTTTCACGATTCCTTCTTCATGTGGAACAACATCGAGTTCAATATCGGTATCTTGGCTGCTTCGTTGCCTTCGCTGCGTCCGCTGTTTGCCAAACTTCTCGGTGTCACGCAGCGATTCACGTCGAACAACAGCCGGAATCGTGCAAATTATGGGTACAATGCCGACGGGCTTGCCTACAATCGAAGCAGAACCGACAAGCGCTCCTCTCACAAACCCGCCAGCCAATACTATCAATTCGATTCGCGGCAGTCGACCGAGCTGGGAGAGCTGCAGAGAGGCGCGAGCCAAAAATTACCAAAGGTCACCAGCACGGTGAGCGCGGGCGACGACAACAGCGACAAGATCATGTTGGAACAAGATTTTCACGCAGTCAGCGGCGAGAGTCCGTGGGCGACACCGGTCCCCGGGGCCATCACAAAAACCACGACTGTCCAGGTCTCGAGATACTAGCTGGAGGAACGGCTCACAGCACGAGCGGCAGCACGCACTCAGACGAGCATTCATTGTACAAGTATGGCTTGGACCAGCTCCACGATGTCCCAGAAGATCACCTTTTTTTGGTGCAAGCGGGAACGCGAACATGACGTTGAATGGCCATGATTATAACCAGAGGAGCAAGAGACTCCAGCCATTGTCGGCCGGGCATGGTGACGAGGAGGCAGCAGTAGGACTGCCTCTGCATGTATATATATATATATATCTGTACACGATACCTTGGCATGTATAGCCTTTCCCTTACCAGGATGTATGTATATACATATATATCAAAATGTTCCTACCTGTACGAACCCCATGTCATCCAACTTCCTTTACCTCAAGCCACCCACGTTGGATTCCCGATTTCTACCAGTTTATGGTGCAAGGAGGTTGGGCCTGATCAAGCTTCTCGATCTACGAGTAGTAACAACAACTTCTGTCACTACCACCAGTTACAAGGTATGTGGGTAAGGGGAACCTCGGCACGCAAATCCCCCGTTGTTTCACCGGGAGCGGGTCGACGGGTCGAACAAGGTTTGAAACGGCTTGTTCGCCAACATTCTTAGGCTTGGAAAGGGCTGGGCCGGGCATGCCGGGCCAGGGAAATTGAACTCCTATTCAAACTGCCATGCATGCCGGCCTTGCAGGGTCATCCTTGTCTTCTACTCAAAGGTCCAAATAGACAGGAGTACACTACATAGAAGAAAGGGGTACGATAGCCAGAAAATCTTCAAACTAGCTAATTACCACGTTCAATTGCTTCGACAGAGGAGAGGGATTGGTGGGTCTTTTGCCACAGTCGGTTAGGCTGTTCGCTCGCTACCAAGCATTGTCACAGCAGCCAGCGCGGATGACATCAAGGCTGAGCTCTTCGGTCAGGGTGATCGTGATGCTGTGATTGCCCAGCGCAGGATCGAAAGACGGTCGCGGGATCGCGCTTTGCTACGTATGTCTGTTGTTTCGGCACCTTGGCCTCGCTGGTCGGCTGAGCGAGACCTTCCGTGATGGCTATGTGTTGTGCTCCGCTTACGGCCATGCTCGTAACTGTCTTCAATGGAAACGAGAAAGCTGAATTCCGGTTGTTGCACCTGTGTTTATGAGATGCCGGACTGGACGCTGTCGGCATCGGAAGAACAGAGCCACCGAACCGAACAATGGAGATAAATGTGCATGGCCCCGAGATATACATGGTGCATAGCGAGCTGTTGCATTCCTCTCCCGAGTCACATAGCCGGGGCATTCGTCGGATGTACCACGTGGGTGCTGAATCATTTATTTCTGATCGATACGGAATATTAATAACTCAACACTTTGTACCGAGGACGGCCCAGTGGCCCACTTGAAGCTCCAACTTCTCATTCACGTCTGCGTTCTCTGCCAATTGGATCCCTTCAAGGTGACCTCTCCGCTGCTGATATCCCCGCAAGCCTTGGGCACTCTGACGCTGTCTATCTCTTTCAAAAGAAAAAGGCAGCTTGGATGCTCTTCAGCGACAATTGTAATGCCCATTCATTTCAAGCACAGCCTCAAATCTAGAGACAGGAGCCCGTGACACAACTCATGTTGCCAAGTAAAATGCAACATGTATCTTCGACATCAATATGTCATGCTGGGCATACAATGTCAGATTATCATTTTCACGCACCCCGGTCAGCACTGGGCACTTACTTGAGAAATATGGTCTTGACGTCAGTGTAAGCCTCGATGCCCATCTGGAAGACGCCCGTCAGTCAGTCAGTGAGTTTTTCACCGCGTCACACACACAATAAAGCCAATGAAGATACAGATTGGAGAGACGTGACAGAAAACGTACCTTTCCCAACTCCCTGCCCCAGCCGCTCTGCTTCATACCACCAAAGGGTACAGTCACGTCAACCATAGTGCAACAGTTGATGCAGACTGTGCCTGCCTCCACTTTTGCAGCAATGCGCATCGCTCTGTTGACGTCCTGTGTAAAAACAGCACCTGCCAGACCGAACTCGGTATCATTGGCACGGTTTAGCACGTCCTCTTCCTCTTCAAACTCGTTCACCACGACCACAGGACCGAATATCTCCTCTTTGTATATCCTTGCAGATGGCTTCGTGTCGACGAAGATGGTCGGCGCAATCCAGCAGCCCTTTGAACAGTTTGATTAGCCACGGCGCCCCGTTGTTGACGACGATTGAAGGTGGGAACTTACCTTGTCATATATTGGTTTGCCCCCTGTCACGAGCGTGCCCTCGCGGGACCCGATGTCCATGTACGATTGCACTCGGTCAAACTGGACCTTATCTGCCAATGGCGGAAAGCGTGTATCGTCTGAATTTGCATCTTGCCCAAAGGCAGGCGTCATCTGTTCGAACAGGGCCTTAAGTTTGGCGACGAAAACTTCCTTGACGCCCTTTTGGACGTACACACGGGAGCTTGCAATACAGGCTTGACCACTGTTGCCGAGAATACCCTGCATGCACCACTGGGCAGCATTATCCAATTGTGCGTCATCGAATATAATACTCGGACTCTTGCCTCCCAGTTCCAGCGTGACTTTCTTCATGTTACTGGTCGAAGCCATCTGAGCGATCTTCTTCCCAGTTGCCGAACTTCCGGTAAAGGAGATCTTATCAATGCCGAGATGTGAAGCCAATAGAGCTCCAGTTGAGCCGGGGCCAGTAATCAGGTTCATGATTCCGTCTGGTGCCCCAGCCTCTTGTAAGATCTTGCCAAAGTAGACGGTGGTGAGTGGCGTCTTTTCGCTTGATTTCACAATCATGGTGTTACCAGCTGCGAGACAGGGGGCACCTTTCATGGCAATCATCACAAGTGGTCCGTTGAAAGCGTTCACGGCAGCGCACACGCCTAATGGCTCTCGCCTGGTCATTCTGAGGAAGCCGGTGCCTTCCTGCGGCCACGCTTCGCCAGAGAGCTTGTCACACCAGCCAGCGTAATCTTAAAGGGGGCGTGTCAATTCTTGGTTTATGTCCAATGTCATATTCGGGACTACTCACACCGGAAGACATTTGCGGCCATGGGCACCTCAAATCCCAGTGACTGCGCTACTGGCTTCCCTGTACACAGTGCTTCGAGGCGTGCAAACTCTTTCGCATGGGCTTCGATGCGATCTGCGATTCGGAGCAGGAGCGCAGCCCGAGTAGCAGACGAAGTCTCCTTCCAGAGTTTGAACGCAGCTCTCGCAGCATTGACGGCGTCGTCCACGTCATCTTTCTCTGCCACATGGAGCTCCTCTGTAACAGGTGTATTGTCCGTAGGCGTGTAGCACGACATGCGCGTAGCTGACTTGGAGTTGACATACTACTCGCCAACTCGTAAGTACGGAAATGGGTCAGGCCAATAGCGTGTGTGATTCTTACCTGCCCGTCAATGAACAGTCTTGTCTCGAAAGCCGGTATGGAACCCATGATGGCTGTGAACGCTGTGACTCCAAGCTAGGTGCTTCAAGTATGAAAGCAGTTACAACAACAGAGTTAGAATGGTGAAACGTAGAGTACTTCTAGACTCGACAACGACAACCTGGCGATGGAATATTGATTGTCAATCTTCCACCGACAATATCGGCGTTAAACATCGTGGCCGAATGACCAGCTTCTTCCAACGGACGTATGAGTCTCGCTACAGCTCGCAACGAACATGATTTCACTGCACTCACGGTGAATTTGCTACAGACTGCAGGAAGTACGCGTAAGGTAACAACAACTCGGATTTAGGGACTTTACTAACCCCAAAAGCGGAAGTGGATGCAATGACTCGCTCTGGGAGCCCCAACGCCGAGGTGGAGAAATGGGCTATAGTCCCTTAGCGCCTTGGCATTTATGCCCTATTTCGGTAGCGAATACTAATGTCTCCACGTTACCTGATATTTACTGTGCACTGTGCTATACGGGACCCAGTTAGGCCGATCAACATCCCGGTCTCTACGCGATTCATACTCCCACAGAGGAGACCATTCGACAAAAGTGCATGGAGAAAGGTGCGAAAGGTCGCGAAATGACTGTAAATTGTCTGTTACCTCTTCGAGACTCGGAGGACTGAGTCAGTTCCTCTTCACCTCACTTCCATCAATGGTAAGAGTCAGCTCCATTACAAAGTCGTGGGTTGGATGACCTGATTCTTGGCTGAGTATGGTGGGGGAAGAGAAGGTTCCGTCTTTTTGGACAACAGGTCTTGCCACAGTATAATACGCTCGATATTAAAGATGGACCGACCGCTGTTGAGTATTTGCAGTCTGCAAAGGCGCGATTCGTATCTTTTCGAAACATCACGAGCTTTGGCCTTTTCTGTTCCGTTCTCACGGGTGAAAAAAGCATGGCTCCTTCTGCCTTCCTCCTCAGCGAAGTGGCCTTTACACTCGTAAGTCTCGTCGCCGTGAGCATATCTGACGTCTCGATTACTGACTCCCGAACAGGTCCTCGTGAGTTTGGTGGGAGTTGTATTCTACAACCTCTTCTTCCACCCTCTTCGTCGATACCCCGGGCCAAAGTTGTGGGCAATCAGCAATATTCCCTGGAATTACTACAATCTCCGTCTATGTTTGCCGTTTAAAATCCACGAGCTTCATCAGAGATATGGTCCTGTTGTTCGAATCGGTCCCAATCAACTCTCGTACAACTCGGGGGCGGCATGGAAGGAAATTTATTTTGGCACCGGTACCCACGAGTACCTGAAGGACTTGCACCGAGGATTTGGCATTCCGCAAGACCCAAACCCTAAGGAATGGCCCATGACAGTCTCAGATACACCCAGGCACCGACGGATCAGACGAGCCCTCTTGCCTGCGTTCTCGGAGCGCGCGCTGCGTGATCAGTCTCCTCTACTCAACTCATACCTTGACATTCTCATCTTGAGACTTCGAGAGCGCGCCGGGAAGGCACCTGAGGATATCATCACCTGGGTCAACCGCTTCACCGTTGATGCCCTGGGTCATTTCTGTTTCGGACAGTCGTTCAACGCGCTGCAGGATTCAAAGACCCCAGACTTGGTCAATGTTCTGATAGACTCTGTCGCATACATTCCAGTCTCCCAATTTGCCCAGCAGTATCGTTTGCAGAGATTGCTGGCTGTTTTTACTCCTGCTGGCGCCGTTAACACAATGGAGGCGTTCAATCAGCATGCGACCGAACAGGTTACACGAGTCGTCGAGCAAATGAAGTCGGGGGTAGCATCATCTGGCTTGTTCTTTAGCTACGTCATGGAAGACAAGGAGGCAAAATCCAAGATCTCCCATGAAGAGGTGACCATTGAGGGGAGAATGCTGCTGACGGCCGGTGCCGAGGCAAGAAGACCCCGGTCATTGTGTTCACACGCTGTTGGCTAACTTTCATACCACAGACTACAACGTCAGCGATCTCCGGATCCCTCTACTATCTCTGCATGAACCCCTCGACGTACAAAAAGGCAGCCGAAGAAATCAGGTCGACCTTCTCCTCCGAGGACCAAATGACCAATGAGGCTGTCGCGGCGCTTCCATACACGAATGCTGTCTTGAAGGAGACATTCAGAATATACGTGCCCACTCCCGGGACGATCCCTCGTGTCACTCCGGCCGAGGGCGCTCAAATTCTCGGTCAGTACGTACCAGGCAAGACCCTGATCGGGGTTGCTCCCTACTCTTGCACCCGCTCGCCGGCGAATTTCCACAACCCGGATCAATTTGTGCCTGAGCGCTGGCTGGCGAGCCAGCTTGGCTCACCGGAGTATGAGCCCTACTTGAACGACAATCTGGAAGCTTCGCAACCGTTTTCGTACGGACCGCGCAGTTGTCTCGGAAAGCCGTGAGTCCATGGACTTCCTTACTCTCCATACCACTGTTCAATCACTGACCGAGCCAAAAAATAGTCTTGCTTGGGTTGAGGTACGACTGCTGTTGACCAGGCTGTTGTGGAATTTTGACTTCGAGATCGCTCCCGAGTCCAAGGATTGGATGAAAGCGCATCGCCCAACAGTTGCTTGGGTCAAGCCACAACTGATGCTGAATATCACGCCCGTGCCGCGGTAGAGTATTGCCTGCCGGAGTGAATGGTGGATTTCACCGAGTCCTTTGTTCGGTTGGTGGAAAGGGCTGGTTCGCATAAATTGGGAATTACATTGTCGATAGCAAATCCGATGCCATGTATTTTTCTCCCTTTCATCGATAGACGAACACGAGAATTGTATCTTCTAGGGGTTGAGGGCCCAGGCAAGCTCTTGAGTGACTCGGTGCGACATTGCTCTTGTATTCCACCCGACGACTCGTCGGCAGTGTTGTGCAAATAGATTTCATTCAATACCTGTAATATTCCAGGCCCTTTTTTTTTCAGTCTTGTTCGTATATTATCTGTCTCAAAGTTACGATAGGAGCGAAGGAGCCAGGTTATTAGCGTTATCCTATCAAAATATCTACTCATTAACCCTGCTGATTTACTCATGAGGATGCTCATTATCCACCAAGTCCCACCTCAGATGCCCACCACTACCTACTGTACCTCAGGCACCTACCCTCGCGAGTTTACGGAAAAATTCCATGGAGTTATGATGCCGCAGACTCCCACGGGTTCGCGAATTGTTGAGAGCGACGTGTTGGGATAGGACGAGGGAATGGTGACCCCGTACGAGCGGGTCGCCTCTTCTGCAAACCAAGAGAAGAAACTTGCCGCATAGAGAACTTCGGATCTTGCCTCTGCCAGAGTCTTGCCGTTCTCAGGACAAAGTATCACGGCGACTGCAAAGCGTCTCAACTTATACGTCGCATTGGTACTCCACTGGGGGGTTTTATTTTTGACTTACGATCTTCTTGATTGGCAAGGATAAGGTCGTACCAACGTCCCAACATGGCACCTCGAGCAGATGCTGTTGTGCCGTAAAAGAACCGCGGTTGCGCGTCATGGGCGCTCTGTATGGCATGTTGGAAGTCCTGCAGGTCGCAGTCGGCCACCTGGCCAAGGATTGTTGCCGTCGCCGGATCTGGAACCTGGGTGAGCAGCAGTCCACTGACCAAGAAGACGAACCATCATACCGATGACATTGAAAGTCTTCTGCTTCCTGACCCACAGTCGTTGATGAATGCGTCTGTGATGAACAAATCTGCATTTTTCAACTATTGAGAAGTTCAACTACAAGTCGACAAGCCCAAGCCGACACATAACTAACGCGCTGTAAGCGGTTGGAATGGCTCCCAGCCTGGTCCGCGGCAGACATCCGGGCTGGTGCCAAAGAAACAAGTGCTAGCCATCGGACGGCCTAATCTGGACCTGTACGAGTAGTTGGCACTGACATCGTCATTTACGTCCGTCTTCGATTGCCCCGCTCGTCTCAGCACCCCATGAGTCAGGCTTCAACCCAGGAGTTCGCAGGCTCTAAGGCAAGACTAGCTTCGTACCACAGTACGAGTACATACGATGTACATACTCCGCCCATACCCCAGAACTTGGCGACCCCGTGGGAACTTTTCGCGTAGTCAAGCAGCCCAGCCAATAGGATCAGATGCTCCATTTGCGCGGCGGGCCAATTTGCACTAAACTAACCATTTTGGGACAGAATCACTTTGTCATTGCCCCACCAGGACACCTGGAACAAACCCGCTTCATGTATTAGCAGAGTCCAACCGATTCTTACAAAGTACGCTATGCTTACAAGAGGAATTTTTCGCTCCACACGTCTGTAATCTGATTGCGATGCGTTTCTATTCGTATTCCACCCTTGTCTAGGTATTTAAGAAGCTGCAACTGCTCTCCAAGCGACGGTTTTTGGCCTGGGAGCCTTCCTCTCCGAGACGTTCCAACCCCCAGCACGTTAGTCACAGCCATTGAACCGCAGTCATGGACAACAAAGATGTCATCGTCCACTATGAGCGCGAGGCCGGGTCCGAGAGCTCTTCCAACGACCATACGAAGGAAGAGCACGCCGCAGCATGGGAGAAATCTTCCACGGACATTGCGCAAAAGGGAGCCCACGAAGATTCCTTGACCCTTCGTGAGGTGTTCACCGGGCGCGTGGTTCTCAGCATCTTGGTCTGTGACCCGTCAAAAATCCCCGAAGCTCATATCACTAAACTGTCATCAGTTCCTGGGCCTTGCTTATTCCGAAGCCATCGGGTTTTTGCTCTTCGCATCGTTGCTTGTGACGGAATACAACACTCATTTCAGTGGGCTTTCCCCTTTTCCCCCAAAGCTCAGCTGCTGGGTTTCTGTGCATGCGCTGACCGGAAAAAAGACTCGACAAATGGTTCATGGGTCCCAATCTCAGTCATCACGGCGGCAACTGTCATGTTCTCGATCTGGGGCAGATGGTCTGACATTCTCGGTCGGCGCTACATCTTTCTCATCGGTCCGTCAAGCCTATTCCCCCCTTCATAACAAGTGATTTTTGGCTGACTTGGTAGGTTAGCGAATGTGATTGGTGTCGTTGCGTCGATCGTAGCGGCCACAGCTCAGTCGATAAACGCGCTCATTGCGGGCTGCGTACTTGCTGGTGTTGCGAATGCAGGCAATCAACTTAGTATTGCAGCAGTGACCGAGCTGTTACCAAACAGATACAAGTCTTTTGGAATTGGTGAGCCATTTTTGGCCCATTATTCGTGCGTCAGGTCCTAATCACCCAGTGTATAGGCGTCACTGGAGCCTTGATTCTCCCTACTCAGTTTGCGCCCTTGATTGGTACGGTACCAGGTTTCTCAGTTGTGTGTGGACGTTCTACTAAACAAGACGCCAGCTGGGTCATTCGTCGATCATTACGCTATAGGCTGGAGAGGCTGCTGGTGGGTGATGGTTGGGCTCTGCGGGGTTGTCTTCATAGGCCTGCTGCTTGTGTACTTTCCACCGAAAGGAGCAGAGATGAGCGACAGCGAGGAACTCCACAAAGGCGTCAAATATGAGCTTCGTCACTTCGACTGGGTTGGTGTCATACTGTTGGCCGGGTCCTTGGTATCGGTGCTGCTCGGACTGCAGTGGGGAGGATCGCATTATCCGTGGAAATCGGCCCGTGTCATCTGCACCATCGTCATTGGGGGACTTGGACTCGTCGGCTTCGGCCTCTGGGAGTCACTGGCAATACCAAAGATCCCACTCATCTCGCTTGAGCTTATGAAAATGGTTCGAGGGTAAGTTTTTGGAAGATTGATGACGATTCTTGAACCGAGACTGACTGTTCTTTTTAGATTCGTTATACCGGCCATCGCCATCGCCACGTCGGCAATGTCTTACTATGCCATGAACATCATCTGGCCCCTGATCATCTCCTCACTCTTCACCACCAGCGCTCAGACTGCCAGCTATTATCAGATGGCCTCTCCGACAGTGTCGACCATTGTCAGCTTGATCTTCCCTCCCATTGCCCAGCGGATCGGTCACTACAAGTGGCAGGCTGTTTTCTACACTATCTGCCAGGGTGCCATCACGGCTGCCATGGCGGCGACCACCGAGCATACCAAAGTCATGTCGACTGCTTTCCTCGCCATCAGCGTTGCCTTCTTGACTTGTGGAACACTTTGTATGCAGCTTTGTCTAGCAACACAGGTTCCGCCGCGCCTCCTGTACGTCTCTCCCCGTTTCCATTTCACGACGTGTTGCTTTTTTTTTTTTTTTTTTTTTGAAAGTTGAACTAACAAGCTGGACAGTGGCTCCGCTTTCGGACTTGCCGGGGCTGCTCGTCAATTCATGGGATCTGTCGTGTGTAAGTATTTAATGCCTTGTTGTTGCCGACCGCCTGTAATGATGCTAAGTTTTCTTTCCTACAGCCGCGATATACATCACCATCCTGAACAATGGACTCACAGACAACATTCCGAAGGATGTGTCGGCGGCTGCCCTGGAGACAGGTCTTCCGCAAACCTCCCTCGTCAGTCTACTCTCAGCTCTCGGCACAAATGACCCGCCCGCCATCGCCGCCGTACCCGGTATCACACCTGCAATTCTGGAGGCCGTGGGCCGGGCAACCAAGAAAGCATATAGGGATTCGTTCAAGACCATCTTCTTTGTCTCGATCGCATTCTCCGTCATTTGCACGGCAACTGCCTGTTTCATCAAGGACTTCAACGACAAGAACACAGACAATCATGTCGAGCTGAAGGTCAACTCGGCTGATAAACAAGAGGAGCAAACTTCAGACAAGGCCTAGATAGGTTGCCTTGCGCCCGTGGGTGGATTTCCAGCTCCTTTGTGAGAGAGTAGCCGAGTTGGAAATTGGACTGGGTCAGGGACTGAAGACTGTAAAGTACTCGCGGTATTGAAGATATGTGAATAAATACCCTTGTAGCAGCAAATCCTACATATGTTCCAGTCCTGACTCTCTTGATTCTCTTGATTCGTGGTAAGTCGCTATTAATGTGGTGTTATATGGCGTGAGGTCGGCGGAAGGAGGAGGGGGGCCGATATTTCCAAGAGTGAGATTGCTCTGAACTGAATTTGGGACTATCAGCCCTCTAAAAACGCAGTTCTTCCCCTGAATGCCCTGCAGCATGTCCTACTCACCATTTACTCCGTACTTTTGCAGTTAATCGACCCCAGGTACAGGATTGTTCGCCGAGCGATGGTACGACCAGATGGGACAGCCCCTGACTCACGTGGGCAACGCGTTGCCGTGACACTTGACCCGATGTGGTACTCGGGCAATGAATCATCGTCACGAGAATGTTCTGGACCTACCCCAGTGCGGCGGTGCTTGTTTTCAGGAATTCCCCGCCAAAAAGGAACTCTCCGCACTGCGGGGGCTGGTTATCTCGACTCTGTTCAAGCTGTTGGACCCGTACTGAAGTACTGAGTGCTTATTACTCGTAGGGCACGAAGGTAGAACGAGTTTTTTGCTCTTGTGTAACTTCCCCCCACACCCCGGGACTACAACAGGTCTGAGAAACGTGCGTACTTCTACTGCTGCCGGACCTGCATTGCATCTCTTTGAATTATTTGTGCAATTGCAACCGCTGTCCTTTGGGAACATGTTCACCACTTTCCAGCAACATGAGTCCGGGTCAATTGATCTGACAGCCGTGGAGAAAAAGCGCCAGCGAGATCGACGCGCTCAACAAAAGTTACGCGAGAGACGAGATCTTCACGTCAAGGAGCTGGAAGAACAGGTTGCGCTATGCAAAGAGCATCATCATGGCGGTGGTCAGAGCTCTATTGAGGCGCTAAAAGAGGAAATAAAGGCTCTCAAGCACGAAAACACCACATTGCGGGCAAGGTGCGAGAATCTGTCTGCCTTTGCACGAAGAGTCCGGCAGAATTTATCACAAGTCACGGGCGGATCTTTGCCAGAGGGCGGGGATTCGTCTGTGGATGAAATGAACGCGACCCTCGAGGATCTAGGACATGACGCCGACCCGTTGGCCCGCGTCACAAGTGTACCACCAAGTACTAGAGCCCAAACCATTGCGGTGGCTGACACACGCTCACCGTGCGCTCAGCCTTCTAATCGACTTACTACTACCGCAGTTGTTGCGACTCCAGGCTCTCTCTCAGAGAACAGCATAGACTACTCGGCGTCAGTTATCAGAGCGGGGACCACATCCCAGCGAAGTGCCGGGCTTTTCTGCGACAGAAGCCTTGATTATAGGGCTCTGACTCAGTCTCCAGCGTCTGGTGACGCCGTTTCCCCGTTTCAAAGCTCCATTCCTCAAGTTAGAGCCGCTGGTCGCCGAACTCAGCTCGCGAGTTCTTGGGTGCAACGACTCCAGGACATGGAAGGTCAACTCTTGCCAGCAAGTGAGGATGTCGATAGCCATGCTCGCCGGTCACAGCCTCTGGACAGCAGGTCTCCGACTGAAGCCTGCAATTTTCCCGACACAAGCTCTCAATGGAATATACTGCCCAATGACGACATTTACCATCCTCTTTGCCTGGAGTTTGCGCCGTTGAGCTCCCTCACTGATCTGATTGTCGCGGCGCCACTGATTCCTGACCCTGCAGAACTCCTGTTTGGCTCACGACAGAATCTCCTGGCAAATGAAATACACAAATCCTGTCGCAAATCTCGCGTTGCCGAGACTGAGCGGTTAGCCAACGGCTGGCTCTTGTACGCCTTCTACAAATGGAGGTACTGCCCCAGCAAAACGACGTTCGACTTGCTTCCCGCATTCCTCCGACCAACTCCAATCCAAGTAACGGAGAGCCATCCAGCCTGCTTCGACATGATGTGGTGGCCGGCTATGCGCACGAACACTGTGCGAAGATACATGTTGAAGGATCCGTCTTTTGATCACCGCAGTGTCATGACGGCCTTGTCGTGTTGCGCAAGAGTGAGATGGCCATGGGGGAAGGAAATTGTGGAAATGGATCAAGATGGCCGGTTGACGATCCTGCCAGCTTTTCTCGAGACGTTCACTCGCCTGGATGGCTGGGGCTTGACTTTGGATTTCATAAAAGCGTTCCCAGAAGTCGTGGATGGCATGGACCTGGATGCCGTTTTATTCACGCTCGAATGACGCCTCGCCCTTGGGCGAGTCAGCATTGGAAATAGGCATGTGGATGCCCCCATTTCGGAGCATTGTCGTCCTATTGTGAAATGGGAGGCGCAGGGATTGCGCACTGTTCTTGGATTGCTCTGCGATGGACTATTCTGTTCTATTCTCAAAAAGGGTAGATCTGGTCCTTCTCTGCTGTCGGCTTCTCATCTTGACATCTGAATGCTTATGATCATTGGTTATTGGTGCACGAATTGACGGGGCCTGCCTTTGCTTCGTAGTCTCCCAAAAATCTGTCGCTCGAATAGTTAATGACGAAACATTCAACGAGACTGGAATATCTAGCGCTGACTATACCCTTTTCCTGACCTATTCGGGTTCTAATATTTTCCAAGCAAGCCGAGTACCAACTGGCTTGGGCGAATTGGGGACTTGTTTGCAACGATTCAGCAACAAAATGGAGCTTTGGAGGGTTGAGTCATTGATTGATTTCCTTTCCTTGTTTGCCCTCAATGACCTCGCAAACCTCGCCCCGTCTCGGATCCCCATGACGGGTCGCATTCACACTTCTCGTCCCGATGCAGGCACATTGTTCAAACTGAAACCGTCGATGCAAACTCGCTCAGTCCCGGAGTTAAGCTTGAAGAATCATCCTGGGAGGAAGACGTCTAACGAACATGTCCGAGCCTGGTTGCGGGGGAAGATACTGTTCATCTTCCGTCCCGAACTGACAATGGTCCCATGTGATTTTTGATCCTCATAATAAATCAAGCAGAAACTCCGGATTCTTTCTCTGTCCTCCCTGGACATGAAGACGCTGCGGGTCTCGTCGCCCGAAATTTCTTCTGCCTCGCGACTGGGAAGCGTTGACTTTTTTTGTTTCTTTCCGAACACGAAACACGCCAGGTTCAAACAGCAACTGCCCGCCCGCAGCATGTCGTATTTCACACCTCCCAACGGTGGTACTGATACTCGAAACGGCGCGGCCAAGGAGCTCAGTGGGTTTGGGGTTGAAAGAGACGCGCAAGACGGGCTCAGAATCGTCGTCGTGGGCGCTGGTATAGCGGGCTTGTCGGCGGCCATTGGTCTGCAGCAGCAAGGCCACCATGTCACTGTATGGCGATCTATCCCTCGAAACATCACCCATGGCCTAGTGGTTGTTGACTCAAGTGGGACAAGGTTGTAGAAAAGTCTGACCTGTCGAATGAGGATGGCGCAAGTGTCAATCTCATGCCTCATGCCAGCGGCATCGTTTGGCGGTTTGGTGTCTACGTGAATGGCAGCCTGGCTGCATACAATGGCGTATGTTACTCATTGCACTGGCCATGGCCTCCAGAGGGTGGCACGACTGAAATTCATATAGATGAGCGAGCAAGATGCGTCCGGAAATCCTGTGCAGCACATCGACAACACTGCAACGGCACAACTATGGCAACATGTAAACACCCTATCATGTCCATTTCTTTGACATGCGTACTGTCTTTCTGACTGGTCAAATAGCCCTGGGTTATCGTTTCACGCAAAAGTCTACACAATGCGCTGTTGGCCAGGCTGAAAGAGGCCGGACAGACCAACAACCACCCAATCACCTTACGCACGACAAGCAATGTTGTCAAGGTCGATCCGCTCTCCGCCTCTATCGAATTGGCTGGCGGTAGGAAGCTCCAAGCTGACGTTTTGATCGGCGCCGACGGCGTGGATGTAAGAAAACCCGGTCTTCACTGGGACTTGTTTGCTTGCAAAGTGTTGCTGACAGACTTACAGTCTACGATTCGGGCTGCAGTCGCAGGCGCGGATACAAAGCTGAACGACAGTGGGGAGAGCACCTATAGCTTTCAACTGAGCAAGAAGCTGTTGTCTGCAAATCCGAACTTGGCGAGATATGTCCATGAGCAGGGACAGGGGTTTTCCTGGGTTGGCAAGGGACGGCGGCTGTATCTCGTACGACAATGCTTTTTTTCGTTTCTAAAGACCGAGTCGTGGCTGATTGTGGTGTACAGTTCCCGCTTTCGAATGAGGCCGCGGTCAATGTCATTGCGACTTGTCCAAGCTTGCCACCAAATCGCGGTGAGTTGCACCCTTTCATCGGCAGGCTGTCTCTAGAACCACGAGACCCAGGCTGCACATATTTCACTCAAGGTCGTTTTGTAACTGATGTGATTGCAGACTCGAGCTTTGCGGCGGCAAAGAAGCAGTTGCTCGATCTGTTCGAGGACTTTGACTCAAGCGCCAAAGACATTATATCTCTGGCTGAAGAATCGACCTTTTCCGCGTGGAATCATTACGAGACTTCGGCCCCATTCCGATGGAGTCACGGAAGATCGATTCTCATCGGCGACGCTGCACACCCCTTGGGTACATCATGGATACATGGTCCAAGCCAAGCCCTTGAAGACGCTGCGGCACTCGCTGCGATCATGCCTGCCGCAACGTCGCCGGATGCGGTGTCATCTGCACTCCAATTCTTCGAAGAACTTCGACGGAGGCGCGTTGAAGAAGTACAGCGCAGTGAGCATCGCCTCCGAGCAATAAATGGGGTATCAACTCCTGGGCAGGAGACCGAATACGAAAGGTGAGTCTGCTGACCCATCTTGAAGAATGCGACTAATTCCGGCAAAAAGTTTCCAACGCACCCTGTTTGGACACGATGCCTGGGACTCAGCCAGGCAAGCTGCCCAAAGGTATTTCATCCAGCACAATCGCAAGAACTGGCTACGTCAACCCATCCAACTGGGCCTCTATCCCTCCCTGCGTCAACACGCCTCGGGCAAGATACGGAGGCCACAGGACCATGTCACCTGGACTCGCTATACGATACGATTTCGTACCTCACGCACCGTCCTCGACGGCTTCCTTCCCGAGGGTTTCAAATTCAGATCTCCAGGTTCTGTCGCCGAAGCCTCGTGGGCGAGTGGCAAGACAGATGGACTGGACTGGCTGGGAGGAGCCGGATACCACCATACGGCACTAATGCTGCACAATGTCGACTACACGAAGAAGAACGGTGAGGTCCTCCATGGCATCTATCTTGTCATGATGATCGAGGATCAGACGGACGCCATTCTCGGCGGTCACGACGACTCTGGAATGGCCAAGTTGTATGCCGAAATTGATTTCAGAAAGATCGACGACAAAGCCCTCCTCACCTTCTCCTGGAGAGGCAAGACGTTTGTGGAAATTGGTCTCGATGGTCTCGCCGCGACTTCGGCCTCCAAAGGCCCAGAACAACAGGCGACGTCCGGCTCCGTGATCCCAAAACTTCCACCAGAGACGGGCATTATGTATGAGCGGTACGTGGGCGCGGTGGGACAGCCCGGCGTTGCCGATGCCCAGTACCCAGTGTATACTCCATTCCAGGGCGGTGGTAGCGGGGTGAAGACAAAGGTCACGAAGACGGAGGTTGCTACTGGAGGCTCGGTGACCTATTTCAGAGGCGACGAGCTCACCCTTCCTACGTGGCATGGTTATGTCGATCGCTTTGCCGAGTTGCCGTTCTACGGCTTCGTCAGTGGCTCGGTGGTGCAAGGCACGGGCGTCGACGACAATCGGAATGTGATGCGGATTGAATAAGGGTAATATATTGCCTGGAGTAGGCCAACACCGGCATTTTGACTACATGCCCGTCGGAGTTGGGGAATAAAAAATATCGCATACGCGCTGTCGTTACACTTGTATTTCCTATCCTTGAAAATAACCCTCGTGTGGCTCTATTGATGCTATCATCCGCACTACCTTGGAAAAGGCTGGGCTGGAAGAATCTCAACATGCAAGTACAAGGCAGTCAGTGTATTGGGTAGGGAGCCTCTGCATCACTACGAATCAGTCGATGAGATTCCCGCAGTCGTTGCTCTCTCTCTTTCCTTCGTGAGGCACCCTATATCACTGGCATGGAAACTCGGGTTAAAGGTAGGGTCTTTGTATAGTTGATCTTCACGGTCTACGGTTGACAATCCACGGTCGAAACCCTGTATTTTCTGCCATTTAGCCACCAGCCTTCGCAAGAGCGCAATCGAGGCCGACCCTATTCGAAACGCAGGAGTGGCTATTTTCCCGGCACCCTCTGCCACATTGGCTTATTGCCCAAGGTCGGAAAGTCCAAAGATTGCGCTTTGCCAAGTCACGAGTCCGGGCTTGTTGGCCCAAAGGAGTTGGCGTGAGTGCACTAAGCCCAATATGTCAGTCGTGACTTGACTCAACGTCGGTCAACGGCACTGATTCATTCCCGTCTAGCTGAATGCGGATACAAGAACGCTTAGCCCTCAACGTTACCTGACTCCAAGATGGCCACGACATCAAGCCCGAACCGCGTTTTGCGAAGGATGTACTCAGCACTCATGCTCGCCTGTGGAATCAGCACGGCACCCACTCACGTTTCTGTGGGGATGGGATTGAAAAAGTTACCATGACGAGATATATAGTCTTTATATCCATGCGGGTGAAGGGATAAATCGCTGCAGGTAGCCACACGTCCTTTTACCATGGCCACGTTTCCTTCCATCGAGAAATTGTCCACGGCCAAGTCCGATGCCGAGTTGACCCACGAAGCCAGAGGTCTGAATGCAGTCATCCGCTTCCAGAGCAGCCATGAAGCCGTCGACTTCGTCTTCGCCGGGTCTGGCGTGAGCGAGGTCCGACAGTCCCAGGGAGAAGCAGCCGTGACGCTCGCGGCAAGCGATGACTTCTGGTCCACGGCATTTCAGCTTCAGGAGAGCGGGAGACCGTGGCCCGGCTATGAGAGTCTCACCATGGGCCAGACCACGGGCCTGACGACGACCGGCGACTTCATCGGGGTCATTGCGCCTTACTCTTTGGCACTCCAGAGGTTGTTCTTCGTCTTTGTACAGGCTGTCCGGCCCCTGAACCGTCGGCCATTTGTCGAAACATTTCGCGACAGCGACAATGCCGTCGGTCGGTACGTGTGGGTCAAGGCCAACGGCCAGGAGGCGCGCATGTACTACGAGGAGGCTGGGACCGGGACGACTCCGCTCCTTTGTCAAGCGACCGCCGGTGCCGACAGTCGCCAGTATCGCTACCTCCTCGCGGATCCCGAAGTCCAGAAACGCTTCCGCATCATCGCCTACGACTTGCCGTACCACGGCAGATCGTTGCCCCCTTCCGGTGACCGCTGGTGGGAGAAGATTTACAGCCCAGACCTGGAGTACCTGATGAACTGGGTGGTGGCGTTCTCAGACGCCCTGGAACTAGAGCAGCCATTCTTCATGGGCTGTTCCGTCGGCGGTCAGTTGGCGCTCGACCTCGCCGCGGAGCACAACGACCGCTTCGGCGCCTTCATCTCACTCAACGGATGGTACGACGTGCCCCCGGCCCTGGCCAGCTTCTCCAACGACCTCTTCCGCACGCCGTCCATCTCGCCCCACCTCTTCTCGGCCAACATGATCGGCGCGTCGGGCCCGATAGCCCCGGAGGCCAACGTCCACGAAGTGCAATGGATATATGCCAGCAACTACTCGGGCGTCTATGCCGGCGACAACGACTATTTTGCGCGCGGGCACGATCTCAAGCGCAACGGACACAAGATTCGCCAGGGCACGAAGCCGGTGTTCCTACTGTGTGGCGAGTACGACCACGCCGCTCACGACCAGGAGCACGGCGCGCCCGCGGTGGCGCGCCACATTCCAAACGTCGAGTTCATCGTGTTGGACGGTCTCAGCCATTTCGCCATGTCCGATGATCCCATGGCGTTTCGCGAAGCACTGATACCCGTTCTGGACCGCATCGTGGAGCAGAAGGACAAGTTGTGACGGGATGGACTCCGCTGATGAGCACCGGAGTATCCTTGGTACATGGTATAATGGGGAACATGGCAACAAGTGGTGCTCTCTAAATGGTTAGGAGCTCGCCAGCGACATAGTTAGTGACAAGTAGAGTTACTCACCTACGGATACGCTAGCTTCTTATGCATGAGCTTCCGGATCGCACTCACCACAACACTACATGCAGGACAACAACCGCTTCGAGACAACCAGGACGTCACCAATGTTGCTCAGTTTCGCAAGTATCTCTACCGAGACGACGATGTTATGGCTTTGAAAGGTACTCTGAGAATTACCCAACATGCCTGGTGCGGTCAAAGCACATAGAGTCAAGAGGATCGTCTCACGTCTCACAAGTGCATAGTCCCGCCAAAACGAGGATTATGCCAATCAATTGGCTTGCCCTTTCGACGTGGCCCCGTGACACGTCTCATAAATAAGCCAATCATCCATCTCCTGGATGCCTTCTTGATGATGACTTCGGACCGGAAAACTCTTGCGACGTGCAAGCCTGACAGCCAACGAAGCTGGAAGACCAATGACGATGACGATGACCAGGACGCCCGCCTGCCCCCCTACAGACAGCCAGGGAACCCCGGCCCGCTCCCACCAGGCGGTATTCCCCACTGCCAACAGCGAGAGTAACGCCGCGTAGCCCATGGAGACGGCGGGGACTCGAACACAGGGGAGAAGCATGTCTTCGTTGACTCGAACGGATCCCGCCTAGCCCATGGGCGTCCACAACAACAATCGACAAGGTTTGATGAAGGCGGACGCTCTCGTTCTAGTGGTTCCGCCTCGCGCTATTATAAAACCGGCAATCTCCACGGCCAAGTCGTCCCGCACGATCAAGTTGATCTGCATGTTTACATGGAGTTGGGGCGCCCCGGGAGGGGGGGGGGGCGTCGCTTGACTTCAGACTCTTTTCGTACACGTTGTCAAACTCAGCCATAGAGCTCGTGGCCCATCGTGATAGGTATATATCAACCGGTGCAGGAATGTGGACTTTTCAGATAGCGGCGCGGTGACGAGGCCTGGGAATAGTCGGAGGACTCCGTGGCCTTTTTGTCACAGGCCAGGCACATCTAGTAACACACCTATCGTTGTTCATGGACACAGTATGCTGATTCATTTCATGTATTCAACTTGTTTAGAAATGCATATCATTACAGAGCCGCCTGCAACACGTCCTGGCCGCCTTGGATATCGCTCTTGCTCAACATCTTGCCGTGTCTCATCAGCTCGGCCGACTTGACCATGATCGGATCCATCATCATGCTGGCCATGGCCACCACCGTGTCGCCCTTGCAATAGTATGCCGCAAACTTGCTGTTCTCGGGCTCGCCCTTCAGCACCAACTCGTCCCACCCGTTCGCCGTCGAACCACAGTACCTCAACTGACTACCGAGCGCCGACCAGAAGATGGGAATGAACGGTTTCGGTTTGCTGCCTGGTTGAGCGATCAGCTGTCCCACAGTGCGACCCTGGTTCTGCGCGACGTTCCAGTGTTCAATGCGCACGGGGCTGCCGTTTCCTCCGGGTCCGTGGTAGGGGTACGTCGCGATATCACCGATGGCCCAAACGTTTTGCAGTCCCTTGACCGCAAAGCTCTCATCGACGGAAACACTGCCGTCTTTCTCCAGTTGTACTTTGGGGTTGTTGCGAAGGTACGTGGTTTCGGGGAACACGCCGATTCCCAAGATTACGAGATCCGCTTCTAGTTCGGTGCCGTCTTTCAGCTTCACGGCACCCACGGAGCTGGCGACCTTGGGTGATGGTAAAGCCGAGTCGACGCCGGCATTCAGGTAGAACTTGGCGCCATTCTTTTCGAGACTGCGCTGGAATATCTTGCCCACCTCGGTACCCATGACCCGTTCGAGTGGTGCGGATTCCATTCCCACAAGGCTTACCGAGTTTTCTTTGGCGAGCGCGTTTGCAACTTCCATCCCAATAAAGCTGGTGCCGACAATGACAATCTTCTTGCCCTTGTCGCCCACGGCCTTCATGATACTTTGCACGTCGCTGACTTTCCGCAGCAGGAAGATGTTGCTCAACTCGTTGTTCTTGAAGCCAGGGAGGGGTAGTTGACGTGGTGTGCCACCTGTGGCAAGGATGAGTTTGGTGTATGGGAGAGGTTTCCCGGCCTTGGTTTGGACGGTTTTGCCGTCAAAATCAACAGCCGTGACTGTATCCGAAACGAATTCTATCGAGCCTTCCGAGTACCACTGTTCGGGCTGTAGATAGAGCTTCGACTCGTCGGTTATCAGGGCCTTGGAGAGTTTCGTCCGGTCGATCGGGTAGCCTTCATCGGTGACGACCGTGATGTGACCTTTGTAGCCGTGTTCACGCAGTTTGAGAAGGGCGCCGAATGTGCCTGATCCGCTATACCAGAAGTGAGCGAGTTGCTCCTAATGGGGAAAATTGAATCAACAACGGAACATACCCTCCGACGATGACTAGTTTGTCTGGAGAAGAGGGCGTGGTCTTGATATTGACTGTTCTCTTTCCACCTTTGATGTCTGCCTCTTTTCCCTTGACATACACTCCACCGTCCTTCTCAACAAGATCGAAGGCGTTCAGCGACAGCGGAGCAGGGGCGTCTTCGACGTCACCGGTGCGCGCATTGAAGCAGGCTGTATTCCAGGTTAGGATCGAACGCCTCAATAAGTAGTGATGTCGCATACCTCCGTGCCAGGGACATGTCAGTCGTCCCTCGGGCGTCAAGACACCCAACTTCAATGGCGCCCCATAATGCGTGCAGTTGGCATTCACTGCGTGTACCTGACCACCAACTTTACACAGGAGGACTTTGCCGCCTTCGATGCCTTCGACTTCGACTTCCCTCTTCTCAAGATCCTGCAAGTCAAGCTTAGCGAGATCCTTGAGTTTGAATTCCTGCGCCATCCTGAGGGTGTTGCTCGAGAAGGTTTTGGCAAGTAGTGACGGTCTATTAGAGGTGAGGGGTCGGCCAGGTCGGGGGACAGCAGACAAGGAAACAGTTGGAGATAAGAGAGGTCTAAATGAGCCAGGAGACACGGAGAAGCAGCGGGCAGTGGATCGGCTAAACATCAAGTGTGAAAGTCCGGGTCGCTGATAGAGAGAGGTGACCTGGGGAGAGACCGTGGGTGGTCAGAGGTCAACAATGGCCAGGAGAGAGAGCGAAGGAATACCAGACTCGTCGCTTTACACGTGGATGATGATGCGGCCATTGTTTCGAAATGGTGAGCGCAGCGTCTCTTCTGCGTGCCTGCGGGGACATTCCATTGACTTGACTTGGTGCTTGCGTGCTTTGCTCATTGCGCGCTGTAAGAGCCAAAAAAGTGCATTGCGTCACTCCATTCGCCCCGCTGATGCCCCGAGGATCCCAATAAACATACTCGGCCAATCATCGTGAGGCGATTGTTAAAGCCCTCTACATAGTATCAAGTATCACACAAATATAGAAATCTTCAGGTACAGGTCGTCAGATCATTGGCACATAGTCCCCGCGTCCTTCTACAAGTCCAACTTTGCTGGGTACTAGAGAGGGGCTCTAATAAGTCACTCGATGCCGCGCCGGCGTGTGTCCGGAAATCCTCGAGCCAACACTTCCTTCCCGGCTCAGCGATCGCCTCAACGCTCCACTCATCACTGCGGCCGCGTCGTCTCCTCCCAGTGACTTGAATCGACTGCTCTCCTGCGCCCGCTCAAACTTTGTCCGTTCTTCCTCCAGGACTTTCCGCTCAGCTTCTTCGTCGAGGAGGGTGCCGTCAATCTGCAAGGACCACTTGTGCCTGTCATGCGCCGGAACTATTTCTGTGTCCGCCACGCGGAATTTCAGCGTCGACTTGATCTTCGTCCCACTGGCGTCTGCAAAGTACCCGCCATCATCTGCCAGTAGAGCATGTGAAGATGAATCCACCACCACCGTGGTGGCAGTTTCCTGTGTGTTGTGTTCCTCATTTTCCAAGCCGTCCTCATCGCGTAGTCGGCCCTTTCTGCCCTTCTTCTTGGCCTTCTGTAGCTGTTCTCTGCTCGGCCCGTTCCATTTCCATTCCGGAGGGATACGGCTCTTGCCAATGGCCGTCTGAAAGTAGTTGTAGCTCACCAGGCCCACGAAACCCTCCGACGTGACGTTCGTCCATCCGTATAGCTCGTCGCCTCTTTCGGGTCTGAATACGAGAAACGTAGCCGTGAGCCAGACCCAACACACACCAAATTCGTCGGCCGTGTTTGCAAGTACATCGGCTTGTGCCTCGATCTCGCCGTTTTGGGGAGGTAGGAGAGGCAGGTTGATGCCGGAGTTAGGTTGGGCGGATAAGACGGCGTCGGAGAACCCGAGAACGATGCCTTGCGCAGGAGGAAAGTATGTCAGAAGCAGAGGCGCCAGGTGCACTGCAAGCACCGATGACTTGGCAGATTCGAGTGAGACGGCAGGTATCGAGAGGTAGAGTGAGAGGCGGGTAGAGTAGAAGGAGCTAGGATCTTCGGATTCCAGCAGCTTGAGTTCTGCTTCTTCCTCGACCTCTGCATCTGAACCATCCACGACGGCTGGTTCTGCCTCTGTAGTCTGTTGCAGATCTTCCTGAAGCCCTTCCCCATCTTCTGATCCCAATTCCTGCGCCACCAACGCTTCCTCTTCATCTCCTACCCTCCGTGCAGCGGCATCGCCCTCGTTCTTGGATTTCTTGCTCTTCTCCTTCTCCCCCTTCTTCTTCTTTTTCTTCTCCTTCCGCTCCGCAGGAGGTTCTATCTCAGCAACTGCACTTGCTGGATGTTCCGCGACGTCCTCAGTCCGCGGCTTCTTCTTCTTTTTGGAGGTCTCGATGCCTTCGGGGTCGCGTTTTCGCTTTTTGAGAGGGCTCGACGATTGTGCATCCTTCACGGGGGTCGATTTTGTGGTGTGGCTGTTTTTGACTTGGACGGACATGGCTGGCGCTTTGTAGATTTCACCCTCGTACACCAATGCCCAGGGTATCTGTGAATTGATGCGTTTGCGCTGGGACAAA